TCCGCCTCCCGCCTGGCCTACCAAAGGGAACAAGCGCGTGAACAGGAAGCTTGCGTCGGACTCGTGACTCAGCAAAACGAGCGATCATGGCTCACAGTCAACTGCACTACGGCCATCATCTGTCTTTCATGTCGAACATCCCTCGACAGACTCTGCTTGCTGATCTTCGTAAGCAGCCTGTGGCCGACGAGGATCGAGCGATGGAAGGTCAGGTCAACAACAACAAGAAGGTTCGAGCAGCTTACTCACACTGGCGGGACACACCTCGGAAAGCGGAACTTGAAGCCGCCCGGGCGCTCGTGCCTATCATGACCCGCAAGTCAAGTCCGCGTGGGCCGAGGTTGCGTGGCAGAAGGGTTTGCCGCGTTGAAGCGTGAGCACGTGAATGATTAAACACGTGATTTTGAGTCAGAATGCGATCCTCACGCTCAACGCCAAGCCTCGATACTGTATCGTGGATCACGACGACTTTCGCTTTGACTACAAGGGATGCCTCTGCGGTACCCCATAAAATATTCTCAATTCCCTCTCGCCGAGACTCTGCTCCGTTGGAAACTTGATCGCCCGCACGTTGAGCTATGTTGCCCACCTTCGCCAAGGAAATTTGATATCACGTGATTCACGGGGCAGCGCGATCGGTCGAAGCCACAAGCGCAATGACGCACGCAGATCGCCTCGCGCATGTGGCCCCGCGGCGACCGGGGGCGCGGTGGAGATGGTGGTGAGCTGCGATCGACTCGGCTCGCTCGATTTGGAAGCATATATCCAGCAAACTCCTCCTGACTCCCTTTCTCACTCAGCACTCACCATCAGCTCCTCATCAATATCGTGTTCGAGTCTGTCTCAGCGGTCAAGCTCCTCAATCATCACCGACTCGAGCCTGTTCCGGTGCATCAAGCGCGGCTTCGCACTTGCTCACACTTCATGAGCCATCCATCCGACAATCCGCGAGACGTCGAGGCATCTCTCGCAGGTGCCAGTCAACGCACGAGCCAACCATCGTTTGAGGATCACGTATATCGACCCACCCAGAGCGATCCCAGCATGCCCTCTCGGCCCCCTCCCGTTTCCGCTGTCGCTTTGACGCGCGTTCAGATCCTCACCCCTCTGAGCATCCTCATATCTGCCGGAACGCTCATCGTCACTTCCATCCTCATCCATCCTTCCTTGTCCGAAATCAGCGAAAAGCATGCCAACTACTTTACACCTTCTTCGGCTTGGCTGTTGGTCTATTGGGGTGTGCTGTACCTCTTGCAGATCGGATTCGCCCTGCTCTGCGTGGTAGGCCAGCAAGCAGAGACGAAGAAACTGATCGCTAATGGTGTTGGTGTCAGATTGGCAATTTGCAACTTTTTGCTAGCCGTATGGTCCATCACTTGGGTGGTCGCCAGTCCAGCCTGCTTCGTAGCGGGCGAGGTGCTGCTAGCCATCATCGCACTCATCTTGCTCATCACCGCCGCCATTTTGGAGTTCATCTACCCTCCCAGCGCAAAGCATCCTCTCGATTGGATCTTTGTTCACGTGCCCATCAAGATGCTCCTCATCTCCATGCTGCAAGTGGATGTGGCTCAACAACTCTTCATGGCGCTCGAGTGGGACGTTTCGCATGGCAACAAGGCCTTGCAACATTCCGTCTGGCCCACTTTTGCTACCATTCTAAGCGTCGGTGCCTTCTCGGCCCTTTGGATCTTTGCATTTCAAGACCTCACCTGGGCAGCCTGCGGCATCGTCCTTAATCTCGCTCTTCTTGCCTACAAGATTCCTGATCATGATCGACCCGCCGAAATGTAAGTTGCGCGTGACCATCTTGCGCGCGTTTCGATCCGCTCTCAACGATCCTACTTTAACCTCCCCCTCCCATCGTCTTCTCATCCTGTCCACCAGCGTGGCTGCAACGATCGCCTCGATCGTGCTTCAAGGCGTAGCGCTGTTTGGTTCGTATCTACAAATCTACATTCGCAGACAACAAGAAGGTCGCATTCGTCTGGAGGAGGAGGAAGACCGGCGAATCCAGATCGCGGAAGCGGAAGCGGAAGCTGCGGCCGCTCGGGCCAGAGCTGACGCTCTCAGCTCGCACGGATCTCGATCTAGACTCGACAGCCAGCACGCGGATCAGCAAGGGCTAGAGACGGATTTGGAGTCGAATGAGCAGGGATTGATGAATGGACACGTCGAGGATCATGCTTCGAACGGCACAAAGCAGGACGATGGGGTCAGCGTGACCAGAACGCTGGGCAGCGCAGCTCTCGAAGAGCGTTGAAAGCCAGAGCAACTTGAAGCCTCTGCGAGGCATGAATGGATCAGCAGCATGCATGCATTCCATTCATCATTGCGTGTCGTGTCATGTAAATAACCCAATTGCGGCCGTAGGTATCGACCTGCATAAGGCGGTCAGGTCATGCCTTTCCCATCGGAATCAATTCGCGCACCTCGCATCGAAGTCTCATCCGCTTGGCGCAAAGCCGTCGTCGGGCTGCAACCGCGCGAGCATGTACGCAACACAATCCCACCTCCAGTCCACAGACTTTCATTTTTTGGCCGCGCTGAAATGGTTGCATTGCATTGTCAGCTTGAAGTAGTGGCGGGTCAGTGATGGTGTTGGGTGTGATGGTACACGTATGTGGCTGCCCAGCAGCTAATTTGTATAAGAGGGGGGGGATACGGGGAAAGTCCAACAAGCCTTCGCCAAGGCCCAAGGCGAGTTTATGGAAGCTCAGAAGGCGAATAGAGCGCCACCCTTGCGTCTACCAAAGGAGTAGACGACGAGTGCACTGCCGAACAATCCGACGGTGATACCGATAGCGACGGATACCATTCGGAGACCGATGGTGAGACCGTTGCTGTAGAGATCGCCATCGGAGCCCTTGTAAGTCATGGCCAGACCACCAGCCATGGCCATGCCCGAAGGGACGAGGAAGAGCACGGCGACTGCCGTTGCCGTGAATGCTGTTCCTCTGAAAATTCTGGAGTAGACGTTGCCCAGGATACCAATGATGAAGGATCCAATGGCGCTGACTACGTCTGAACGGTTGAAGACGAAGCGGTTGGCCGTCATGTTTGCTGTCCATCCCACGCAAGCGATAAAGACCATCACTGGCAAGTTCCAGCTCCTCAGCGGCTGCAAGAGGTTGAAGCACGAGAGGAGGGAAAAGAGGGGAACAAAGATGAAGTTGAACCAAGGCGAGATGGGTTGTCTGTACCAAGGCCAGTCTGGCAATCTTTCGCAATTGATCGACCCAGTCGTCAGCGCATTCCTCTGCGTTCCATTGGTGAACTCGAACGTTCCAGTCCAGAGCGGCATCGTGGCGTTGGCAAGGGAAAAGGTTCCATCCACCTTGACCGACGCTTCCAGCGGCACGTACATCGAGTTGCGTGCCGCTGGATCGAGCAAAAAGTAAAAGTCTGAACCGATGGCGATGCCAAATCCAAGGAAGAGCGAGTAGATGATGGCGTACACCATTCGCACCGATCCAGCAATCATGTTCTTCGAAGCCAATTCGAGCGATCCGCAAACTGTCAATGAGATGGGCAGATCACGAGTTAAAGCTATTCCTGCGCAGCAAGACATCTCGAAGCTCCTACTTACGAATGACGTAGCCAGGAAGGACAAGGATAAGACCGGACGAGGCGATGGACTGGTAGCAAAAGATGCCCGTAGTGCTCAGTCCTCTGGCGATGAAGGAGATGAGGATGGCCGTGGAGATCTCAAAGACGTTGGAGTACATTGCGTTCTTCCTAGTGACTCGTAGCTGAAGGAATGTGAGACCGGCTCCAAAAGCAGCAGCCGCGAACGCGTCGATGAAAGAGCCTCCAAAGGACATGGGAGCCATGAGCCAACAACGAACAGCTGCAAAGCCAATTCGCGCCCATTCTCCCCAGCAAGCTTCAGCTTTGAGAAGCGCGTTGAGTTCCTCTGTGCCCTCCTGCACTCCAATGTCGTCGTGAACTACCTTGCGATAGATTTGATGTACGTCGTGCAGCGCTCCCAGAGAAAGATCAGACTTGGACTTGACGAAGTGCGTCTCGCTGGTGTGCTTGTCGACATCTCCAAAAGAAGCAATGACGATACCCGGAAAGTGGATGAATTGAGCGTCCACTTCGAGCACGTTTGCAGTAGCGTTGAGCTGAGACTCGATACGGTGCGAAGGAGCGCCAAAGAGCATGAGAGCTTTGGCCAACTTTAGGATGAACTTTTGTCGGAAGACGACGTGAGCGACATTGGCTGTGATTGTCGTGGTGCTCTTCCGTCTATCGAAGCTCTTCCGACGGGTGGCCGTGTACTTGTCGTCCTGATCTTCGCTGTTGCGGCCAGACACAAAGTTCTTGATGGCTCCCATGCTCGAACGACGTCGAGGCGCCTGCCGACGACGCACGGGAACGTCAGGATCGCCCATCTCGGAAGACCAGCTTGCCCGTCGATAGTCGGTCTCTGCTTCTCTCTGCCTCTTCGCTTGCATGCTCTTGCGGATGACGTGCGTAAGACGAGGATCATCAGGATCCATTTCTACGTCGTCTTCGCCTAGCGTGAAAGCCATGCTTTGTCGACGCCGAGCAAGCGATGGTACGTTGGAAGGGGCCTTGTACGCTAGTTCAGCCTCCTTTTCGGCTGGCTCGCCTGGACTGCTGGTGCCTTTGCCCTTGATGGTTCCTTCCACACCATTCAAAGTGTCACCCCCGAGACTTGCACTGCTGCGCCTCCTCACGTTTGGCATTCTGACGCCCAGTCCTTCGGTGCCATCCCCGGAAGCAGTCGCGGCGCCATACAAGCCGACAAGCGCCTGCGTAATGCCGTACGGCCTTCGAGTTGCTTCGGGCTCAACGGCCCGGACAGCTCCTCGCTCCATCGGATCTCCCGAGTCGTGTATAGCAAAGTTCTCCACGCTCTGGTCTCTACGAACGAGGGCGGGCTTGAGTGCTGGCGATCTGATGCTGCCTGACGACGTTACTCGTGGGGAGAAGGGCTGCACCATGGACGGAGACGAGTAGGGGTCGTAATGCTGGATCTGAGCTCCTGGTGACGGCAGCGGTTGAGGCCCACCCCAGGGCAGAGTGCCGCTAAACGATGGCATCTGACTCTGCGCGTTGGCATCATACACACCGCTGACGGGACGCGAAGTGAAGCCGTGCTGAGCGACGTAGGGCGAGTGAGCGGTGGGTGCTGGCCTTTGCGGAAGGTTCATGGGCGGTGGCCGAGGTTTCTGTTGGCCTGAAGCACCGTTGCGCGGTAGTGCCAGAGGTGGACGACCATCGTACTGCGGGCGAGCTGCTTGTTGAGTCGAATGACCAGCAGCAGCGTATTTCTGAGGCGCAGGCGCAGGCGCGCGGACATAGTCTTCGTTGCCGTCGGATGGCAAGTCGGGAATGAAGGCAGAAGTGCCACGTCTGCCTTTGCATGTTGACAAGGTGCGGAGAGGCTCGATAAATTCTTCACCACTCTCATCGTCATCACCATCCGAATCTTCGCTTGGCTTGGAAACTTCGGCAAAGCCAGCCCGTTTGGGTGTACTGGGCTTGCCTTGAGGAGCACCGGTGGCAGAAGACGTGGAAGCGGGATCAGGGCTGCGCTCCAGAGGGCTGACCGCTTCAGCCAACGCCGAGAGTTGAGACCGCTGGGCATCGTTGGTCGCGCACACAGAGTAGCCTGGCATAAAGGGAGAGCTGGACTGCGGAGGAGGTGGCTGCGAGTTTTGCTGTTCATGGGCAGAGGCGTGGCTGTTGGGCTGTTGCAAGCCTGCTTGAACAGAAGCTTGCGATTCGAAAGCCGCTCTCATGAGCTCATGATCGATACCCGCGGGCGCCCCGTCCTCCTCGAAGCGGGCTCGACGAGGAGAAGAATTGGCGCGAGGGCGAGACATGCTTGGAGATTGCTGAGGGGGGAGGGGAGCAGAGTGAGATTGTGTGTAGTGAGGATGTACGGTGGCACTTGGCCTGTTGCGTAAAGAGCGTAGGTGCGGTAAAGTGCAAGGAAGGAGCTCCTGTGTGGATGCGGGATCGGCCACAACAAGTGACGATGGGCTGAAAGGGGAGCGAGTCGAGCCAGCCGACTGCTACCTGCTTGTTGTGGATGGCTTGCAACTAAGGGGCAAAGAGCTGTGTGAATGCTAGGAAGGCAATGATAAATGGCAACGTCCAATCCAGGGACGGATGAAGCTGGCAAGATGCAATGCAGCGAGATGAAGGTGAAGGGGAAGATGAAGATGGAGAGAGAAAGCGAAGAGAATGAAGAAGGGGTCAAGGTGGAAAAGTCAAAGCGGTGGTGGGAGAGGTAAGCTTGATCAAAGTTCATCAGCTTGAAACCTAAGACCCCGAGGATGAGCGCGCATAGCGGGGGTCAGTTGCCACCTCACCTACCCCTCTCGGATCGCGCTTGCGTGGAATCAGTCAACACCGATTCGTGCTGTCACTCGTGCCGATCGAGACTGCGCAGTCGCCTTTCTGTCAGAGCATTCGCTGGCCTAGTGTGACGGCAAGACCCCGACAAACGTTGAGCTTGCGTGGCTCCACAGTAGCGGGGAACGATCGCAGGCAATTCCAGGGCCTCTGCTTGGCTTTCCACCAACATCATGCGACTTTTGAGCCGTGCTTACACGAGCTTCAGGGAGGGGAGGAACCGTTGAGGGAAAGCGTGGGATGTTGACCAGGTGTCCCCCACTCCGGCTATGCCAGCATCCGTTTTGCGCGAGACGACGTGTCCGCTGAGAGCGAACAAAGCTCGTGTGGCATGCTTGGCTGACAGAGTGACAGAGCGGAGCGAGTCATGTGAGCGCTGCACCCCAGCAGCACAGCGCTGAGCGGTACAAATCGCATGTCCTGCCGAACGGTCGTCATTGCCGATTTGGCGAGACCAAGCTTTGGATCCACGACTTGAGTCGCACACCTGCTGCGCGTGGTGGTGCGCAAGCAGACCGTGCCAGCCCGTGCATGGAGTTTTCCTCAACGGTCGCCAACGGTCGCGTCGGGTCGATCGCGCACGCGCACGCACACGCGCGCCTCCTTGCGCAACGAACCCATTCGATCCGCATGCAAATGCAAATTCAAATTGCGGATCCGCCGAGCTTATTACACTTGCACGGCGCACACGAGTCATTTGCTCTGATGAGCCTCAAAAGCCCTGACAATCAAGCATACAACAGATGCAAAGCACCGCGGAGTCTTGAGTGCCGCACAAGCCTCGAGTGGGCCTACACCTTCGATGACCACGTGACTCAATCTGTTGGAAAGGACGTTCTACGGCGATGCACGAATAGCAGGCGAAATCAGGTTCAGCAGCATGGCAGACTCCGTGGCTCGAGGCTCGTGGAGCACGACACAACGCACACGGCCACGAGACGATGCGTGGGGAATGACATCGGTCGGTGCATGCCACTCGAACAAGTCTTGGTACTCCTACTGCACTCTGATTTGATTGACTCGAAAGAAGGTCGCTGCAGCGCAGGCACACGACGCATACATGTGATTCACAAAGACTATCGGCGCTCGTACAGAGAGTCGAGCAGCCTAGACGTGTCATCTTCGATTGCTCTTCTTCCTCTTCGATGACTTCTAGCCCTGGCCTGCCTGGCATTCGCTCTTCCCTGCTCTCCCTCGCTGTACATGCCTCCAGGTGCTCCTTGGTCCGCAATGTCCGCAACTGAGACATAACGCGAGTTTCCATCTACCTGACCCACCCATTCCCTGCTTCCCGGCACGCCGATGGACAACTTTGTTCCAATGGCATGATCCGCCGCTCTAGCCGTCATGTTGATAAAACCAAGCGCTTCGTTGGTCAAACGACTATGCTTTCTGAGTCCGACCGCATCTCGGTCGTTTGTTCGACTAACGGTCGCCTCGAAGATGCGAACGCCAAGCTCGCCCTGGCTAGGTTCTGCTTTGTTGAAGTCCACACCTTTGACTCCTTCATCAACGTGCACCTTGGGCAGCTTTGCGATGCGTCCTCCAACTCCCAGCGCGAATCCATCGGCCCTGCCGCCCCGCGCACGTGAAGGGTTGCCAGTAATACTGCTGCCCGACTGCATCGAGTTGATCAGCCTTCCGGGTATTGGAGAGGCCAGAAGGGCAGTTTGAATCTTGTCCGGTTGCCCGTACTGAAGACCGCCGAGAGGGTGCATTGGATTTCGCGGAGGCTGACGCGCTGCAGACGAATCCGAATTTCTAATGTCGCGCACGACGTATCTTGGGGTGCCTCTTGGATTGAGTTGGGTTGCGTGGGGCCCAGCGAGCGCCAGTTCAGTCTGACGCTCGAGCCAACGAGACCAGCTCACTCTGTCTGCTCCGCGACTCAGGTTCCAGGCATCCACCTCACCCACTTCTGGGACGGGAATCTCTTCCAAATTCTTTTCTGGTGGAATCTCTGGCGGTTGCTCTCCTCGAGAAGCCAAAATCGTGGCCTCAGAGGCGATGCGTTTGCGGTGTTGATCATATTGGTCCCACGCATGTTGTTGTGCTCTCCTGCGCAATTGAACGCGGTGAGACTCCAGATACGCCGCTCGTTGTTTCCTGATCTTGCCCAAGTGCCGCTCGAATTCCTTCTCTGACATGAGGTGAATATCTTCCGGCATAGAAACTCGGCTGGAGTAGAGCGGGCCAGCTTTGTCGAACGGGTCCAAAGCTTGGGTGTGCTTGTAGACGGGGTCGTCGATCGAGTATCGCGGGCATTCTCCGTCCCTGGCTTCGAACAAGCGCTGCTCACGTTCCTCGGGCGACAGTGACTTGTTTGCTTCAACGTCCGATGGCAATGGCCGGATGGTGGCCAGGTCGTACCTGCTGGACAACCTCGGACCCAAAATGCCAGCTCGCGAATTGATGCTTGCGCCCAAGCTCAGACGGGAACTGGTCTCTTGCCATGTTTTCTTTAGAAGCACTTCCTGCTCGTTCTCTGCCCATCGTGTTTGTCCTCCCACATCGTCCATTCCTTGCACTTCGACATATCGAATCGTTCCTGGGGTCTTGTCGACCGTAGGCAGAGGCCTCTTGAAACCGAAATCGCCGCGCACTTGGCTTGCGGCGGGTGCCGTGTAGATCTGCTGTACGGCAGGGTCGTAAGAGGAGAGGCGGGAGCCAGCCAAGGCTCTTGCCAGAGCAGACCGCATTGCAACGCAAGCCCTTCGAGGGTGCGCCAAATGCCGTGCTTTCTTTTGCTGACGAGACGAGTAGGGTTGAAACAGGGAGGCAATCAAGAGGCGAAGATGAATCGCGCGATCGCACTCAGGACCTCATACGCTTAACTTCCTGCCTGGGATTGAGGTCAGCAGCGCTAGATGAGCACGTGATCAAGACTGGCCACGTGGAAGGACACGAGAGCTGGACGTGCGCTTCATGACAGTCAAGAGTACGCGCGCGTCCGTTTCGAGCCGGCGCCGACCAACCACTGCGACCGGATTTCCCAAACTCACACCCTCAAACTCACACTCAAATCGACTGTGACTGCAGCAACAGCATCACATCGCATCGGTCGCGCCTTGGTGACATCGAAGCGAACCACAAAAAACGGCTCTTTCGCACACTCGACGAGCTCAATTCTCTCAATTGAGTCCGCATCATCGACAAGATGATTCCTACTCTGGCTGCTCGATCTGCGTTTCGCGCCAGCGCGCGCGCTCAAGCTGTCAAGTACAGCTTCCAACCTCATGTCGGACGATTCGCACCCGAGAATGTCATCAAGTGAGTGTGCTGCTCGGCTACATGGTAGCGCGAGTAAGCGTGGGGCTAGAGGATGGAGAGCCAAAGCGATCGAGGTCAACCAAGGGGACGCTATACCGATGCGAATTTGGCGGGATCGTGCAGGTGTGCGGGTTGATTTAGTCGAAGAAACTTCTCAGCCGATCTGAATGGATCATCGCTGACCTCCTTCTGACAACATTTCCACCTTCCCGAACTCACCTTTTCCACCAGATGGGTGCCTTCTCTCGCGCTATGGGGTGCTGGTGCTGGTGCAGCCGTGACACTCTTCTTGTCAGGCGTGCCCCTCTTCCAAACAGACGTGCTTAAAAAGCTGCCCGTGCTCAAGTGAGTCGTTGATTGCGTACAAACTTGCACAGAATGTTCAGTCCAGAATGCTCACACATGATCGGCGTCGTCATGACAGGGAGTATTACGAGGACAAGACACCAGACAGCGACAAGCCATTCTAGATCCTTGGGCGCAACAAAGTGCACTTGCCTCTCATTTTGTCATCATCAATCATCTATCGATCTCGCCAGCCTCATATTCGAAATGTGTGACCAGGATGGCGCGTAGCTCACGGTGGTGTCAGACGGTCTCTGACGTAAAGTTCTCGCAGTGAAGGAAACATCTGTTATGCGAAGCCAAAGGTATAAGTTGTGTGGCCAAACGAGCATGATGGGAAACGAGTACCGGAAACGCGGCAGACGAAGTGGGATGACTATAGGCGGATCCGGGGAGAACCGGAGGAAACGCTTGCTTGATCTCTGGGAGCGGCAGCGGTAGCGGCGGGAGGCGGACGGAATAGCCGCGAGAGTCATCGCTTCGCGAGGAGGATGCCAGGCGTCAAAGCTCTGCGTTGCTGGACTAGCCAAGAAGCAGGCGCGCTGACCGAGGCTGAGTTGCCGCCTGCCATTCCAACAATACCTCCTGTCGGTCTGCTACGAGCTCGAATGTGCGCAGCGAGCTGCGCGCCCTGATCGTGAAATGCAGATGCCATCAAGCGTAATTCTCTTCGCAAGGTGGCGATCTGGGATTTGTACGAGGCCTGGTTCGCCCGGACGGAAGGAAGGGGGGGGTATTAGCTAAACGCCTAACAAAGCTGATGGCGAGAGACTTACTGTGGCTGCAGCGAGCTGTTCGTCTGTCGCGCCCGCCTTGATGAGCTTGTCTTGCTCCTTGATGAGCTGCGCGAATCGGGCAAGACGACGTGTCAGCCTCTGGACTGAGTATCAATGCTTTGTGCGGACCCCGAATCACCTTTCGTGCTGCGCTGAGCTTTTCCTTGCCCGCTTTGACATTAGATTCTGCTTCTGCCGCTTTTGTCTGCAGGCTTAGGATGAGCTCTTCGGCTTCTTTTGGAAGCGCTTTGCCAGCGAGAGATGAGCGCAATTCTCTGAAAGCGCGTGGCGGACCAAGGCAGTCAGCAGTCATGTATGCGATCCTGGGTGGAGGCTCCGTACTCACCCCAAATTCCTCTCTCTTCTCAGAGCTTCTTCTCTTTGACCTATGCCTTCGGATTGCAGGTCCACCTTTTCCATCAACAGCTTGTTAATCTGGTCCGTTTGCATCCGTTTCTGTTCTTCCACGCTCTTGAGCTGTTCTCTCAAACGGCTCACCACGCCCTCTAAGTCCGCCTTTTCCACATCTACGGATGCGCGCAGAGTATGAAGAATGTCGACTTGGTCTTTGTTGACGAGAGTCAAGTCAGACTTGGCGATGTTGAGCTCGCGCGTAACCTCTTCGTGTGTGACCGTAAGAGCCGCATGATCCCGCTTGACGCTGTCTAGCTCCTCTACAGTCTCGTTGAGACGCAAGCGTAGAGCGTAAGCCGCTTCTTCTCTGTGTGAGCGGGATAGAGAGCACTTTGAGCACAACCAAGAACGCATCCTGGAACTTTTTGTACATACTTACCCGTCGCCAAAACTTGACTTTCCACTCTGAATTGTCTCCAATTGACTCTGCAGCTTGAGCTTTGCTTGATGCTCTTTGAGATAGTCCTGCTCGTATCGCTCCTTCATGGTCCGCGAATCTTCGAGCAAATTCTCCAGCACTAAGATGCGGCTCACGTCGGCTTTGTTCGCCTTAGCGGCTTCGAGTTCCCTGGCCAATTTTCTCACCCTAATCTTGAGGTCAGTCATCGTGGTACCCGAGAGCGCATCGTCGATCTCCCCGCCCACGTCATCGTCGTCATCAGACTCGTCCAGCGTCGAGTTCGCAGCGGCCAAGCCTTCCGCACCGTCCACCTCGGCGCCATCAGTAGCGCGCATAGCCTCGAGACGCTTTTGGCGGGCTTTGCTTGCTCCGGTGCTGCCTAGCTCTAGCTCTTGAATGCGCTCTTGATACAGCTCCATCTCCTCTCGATCACGGGTACGCGCTTCTTCGATCGTTCGAAGAGTGGTTGTGGTTTGCTCGTGCTCGTATTTGAGACCATTGTAGTCCCTTTGAAGATTGGAAGCTTTGGACTCCAGCTCGGATATCTGTGATTTGTAAGTGTCCATCAAAGGCTTGAAGGCTGCAACCCGCTTGTACTCGTCTTCGAGAGCGGCATTCTTGTCGACGAGTTCGGCATTCTGGTCCTCGAGGACCTTCAGCTGCCTCCGCACATCGGCCCCCTCTTCAAGCTTCTTCTTGTACTTCTCGACGACATTCTCCATCCGTGCTGCTCTATCTGCTGCATGCTTGTACTCATCCAACTGATCCTTAAGGCGCGTGGCCTCTTCCGCGCGTCTTCCGAGATCGTCCACTTTTCGTGTTTGTTCGACGTGACTCTTGGTGAGCCTTTCGACTTCAGACTCTGCTTCCCCGAGGTTGTCCTCGCTTCTTCTCAGCTCGGCTTTGAGTCGCTCCACGTCTGCTCGTAGCATTGCCTCTGTCCCCTCTCTCCGTTGAACTTCAATCTCATCTTTCAATCGCTTTAGATCTTTAGCTATTTCGGCTTTTTCCAGCTCAGTGTCCTGGACCGAACTCTTGAGCAGCTCGTGCGCTCGCGCTAGCTCCACATACGACGCTTCCAGCGCTTCCTTGTCAGCCTTCAAGCGCGTCACGTTGATGTCTGCCATTCTCGAGTCGAAATTACCGCCCTCCGAAGCGGTTGTATCCTCTTGCTGAGAGCTTGATGGTTGGGCAGAAGCAGTGACGATTTCTTCGATCGCCACCATCAAGGCGTGCTGGTGCTGCTGCTTGAGCGTTTGGATCGCGGCAATGTGTTCCGATCTCTTGTCGCTTTGCACGGCAAGGCCAACAGCCAATCGGCACAGCAGATTGAGATCCACCAAGGAGCTATGTCTAGCTATCGCATCGAGATCGGGTTGCCTGACCGCGGGAGAAGCCAATCTTTCACTGTAGTATAGCATGATCTGTCTATAAAGCCTTTTCAATGTTCCAAGTCTGATGAGCAGATTGTCTTTGGCTGGCTCGTGCGAGGCGTGTGGATTCCTGAAGTGATCCACGTCAATGCTGGAGAGGATGTCAAAGAGCGCAATCCCGTCACAGAGGTCCTCCGGTGTCGATAGGACCTTGCTGAGCACGACATCGCCATCACCTTGTGACAGTGCTTGAATCCATTCCAGATAGGCTCGGGCTCGATCAGAGTCAGCATCACTGCCCTGTCTGCTTGCCCTTTCAGAAGTGGCACTGGTCGAGGCCGAAGCCGAGGCAGATGGTGAGGTCGAAATCTGCGTGTTGACAGCCGAAAGGTCCGTCTCCAGCTGTGATGAGACATCAGCAGCGCTATCTGAGGGCGGTAGCTCGGCAGCCCTCTCGTGTTCCGTGCTTCTGTTCGTTCCAGCTGAAGTTTGTGGTACCTCCACAGGGCCCTCTGCGGCATCGCTCATTGTCTCTCCCTCGGCAGCGGACATTGTGGAAGCTGACGCGAGCTAGCCGGATCGCTCGGATACAGAGAGAACGGGCGGGAAGGGCGGAGCAGATGAAGCTCAAGTAGAAGAAGGTATGCACAAGCTGCTGCAAGCACTCTGCCGCGACAGCTCCAGGCTTTGCTGGAGCGCTAGCACACCAGCTCGGAGTGGGGAAAGGGCGAGGAGTCGATTGCTATGATCGAAGAGAGCTGGATGATGTTGATCATGTGAGTGATGGGAATCCTGCTTTCGGAGTGCTAGAACAAAGATCTGAGTGGCCAGCTGAATTCAATGGGAATCAAATCCATCGTGCAATTCACATTGTCCGCGGCTGTTTGTGTGTTGCTTCAAGCTCAGCAGCGCATGCTCAGCCAAGAAACCCCGCGTTGTCGCGCTGGATCTCATGCGCGGTCCGATTTGGCTTCACGCGCGCCCAGTGACAGACCGGTTCTGGCGACGACTTGTTCATCACGAGCGTCCCGCTCATCTATATGGGGCGACCAAAGTTCGAGTCGTGAGTGGCACAGCAGCTCAATCGCGAAAGAGTGATAGGTATCCATGGGAGCACATGCTGAGTGGGGCATGGAGGTGCCGGAACGACCGTGTCGTGGCAGAAGACTGACAACGTTCGTCATTGCTTTCTGGGAGCCGGGCGGCATCTCACTTGACACCAGGCGCATGACAAGAAGCAGACCTGCATACATAGCATTGCGAAGGTCCATGGAAGCGAGAGCACCGGTGCAGCATTTCACAAAACCGCAAGTGGCTCTTTCAGATGAGATCCAACAGATCGCCTCCCTGCTGCTGCGCCGGTGCTTGATTTCTTACAGGCGCCGTAGTGGGTGCGCTAGGCATGCTGTTGAGGAAGTCCAGTGCCGAGGTGCTGCCTGTTCCAGAAGTTGGCGGCGCAGCATCAAACAGGCCTAGGAGGTCGTTCAGCGATGCTTGCTGTTGTTGCGCCGAGGCCGCATTGCTGGTAGCCGCCGAGGAGGTGGTCGCAGCTGATGCGGTATCATCCGACATCATCAGATCGTCCAGGCCTCCGAGGCCTCCTGTGGGAGCAGGAGCTGCGGCAGCAGGGTCTTCGTCTGCATCAAAGTCCAGCAAATTCTCCGCTCCTTGGCCTTGCACGACGGTGGCCAGCGCCTTCTCTCGGGTGACCTCTTCTCGCCTAGGAAACGTGGAGTGTAATGAGCGTCAGTGTGATGCGGCTCAGGACTCAGTCAAACGTGGCGTGAGCACTCACTTCTTCGCGATTGCATCCGCTCCAAGTCTGCCCCTCCCGATGAATGTAGACTCAGGTTTGTGGTAGGCGCTAGCAAGTGATGACAAGTCGGCGATGAGCTCTTCAAGCAAAGCTGGCGAAATTGTAGTGAGTGGGATCGATATTGCCGGTCGATCTGCGAGGACGATGGACTGCGGTGCGCAATGACGAGTTAGCTCGCCTTGCGACAAAAGCTCTTCAGAAAGAGCTGAAGTATGCTCACTTTTCCAGCGCCGGTGTCTGAGCTACTCAGCAGCCTCCAGTAGATGAAGGCTCTGTCTCTGAGGTCTGGATTATCGGCGCTCTTGGTCGCCAGTTCCAGAGTCCTTTGTACCAAGCCCTGGCTGCCGTCAGGTCTCTTGAGGAAGAGCTTCACCACAGCAGTCAGGATCGAGAATTGCACTTGTGATTGCTCGTCGACAAAGTTGTCCAAGAAGCTTGCCAAGAGCTCGTCGGAATTTTCGATCTTCTCGGCGTAATCTCCGAGGATCCAAATGAGCGAGGCTTTTGCTTCAGGCTCATCCAAATCTTCGAGGTTCGAGCACAGCGTCGGGATGATGCCTTCGTAATTTGAGGGGTACTTTCGGAAAATGTCCTGTAGAGAACGAGATGGAGACCGGATCAGCTAGCGATTTGGCAAAGGCGGCGTCAACGCTCCGAGCGGCTCCCGACGCACCTTGATCACCACAACAGCTTCTTGTACGACATAGCTGACACGCGTAGCTATCAGGTCTAGCAACACGTGCACGCATCTTTCTGCAGCATCGTCGATCTTGATCGCACACTGCCCGATCGCCCTTATTGAGCGACGGACAAAGTCAACATCTACCTCGGAGGCGTACCTTGGAGTCCAGCATGTCAGCAATCGGCAGTGAGGATGGGGTCAATGCCATTTTCTCGACTTACTCCTTCAGTTCGCTTAGCAGCATGTCTACATTTCGTTCATTTGCCAGTTTGATCATGATCTCTAGCTTCTCTAGCTTGACGTAGGATGGATCGTTGTACTTGCAGAAGAATATTCTCAGTTCTGTCGACAAGACGTCTGGTCGCTTCTGTAGGATTAGGTTGATATTCCGCAATGCCACCCACTGGACTTCCGGTGCTGATGAAACCAGTGTGACTAATGAAGGTCGTAGGCGCGAAATCTGGTCAATTTCAGCAATCTAGCCTACGATTACTATCTGTACGTTGTACACACCTAGAGGAGGGGCCATCTTCCTAACTAGCTGCTTGACGAATTCTGGCTTCTGCACCCGATCCATGTGAATCATGATAACCTTCACAGCGCTTAGCACGACACTGCCATTAGCATGTTGGAATTGCGGCACGACGCGTTCACAAATGTGCTCTGCATCCCTGTCTCCGTCTTCTCCCGGGGCAGGCTTGTACCTTGCAAGGCTGGAGAGGATGGCGATTCGTCCCCATTCAGTGCATTCATTAAGGGCAATAAGAAGTCTCGCGAGGATGCTGTTGTCGATGACGAATAGCGCTGTCTGGCCGGATGGATCAGCCTCTAGCGCTGTTTGGTGAATGTCTGTCAATGCTGTCACGGCATTGGCAACGACCTGCAGCCAAGGCATTGAAGTCGATTAGCCTCAGCTAGCCATACTCAGGCGTCTCTCTCGTGCTCGAGCGGAATCGCGCATCCTCGACTCAGGCGCTGCGGCTCACCATTGGATTCGCGTCTCCAACCAAATCCCTCAACAGCCCAACAAACCCATCCTCGATTGCCATCTCTGGCTTCATCTCGTACAGCTTGGCGACACAGATAGCAGCGGTTTTCCGAACGTAGGGGTTATCGTCCCTCAGAGCCTTTGACAGGGGATCAGAGAGGTAGTCGATGATCTTCTCGGCTCGCAAGCACGACATTGTCCGGATTGCCAGCGCCCGCACAAGAGGATTTGGATCGTCTGAGTCCTACATGAGAGGCGTTAGGCAGAGCGCACTGCTCCGGTGAGAATTGCCCTGTTACACGCTCCGGCAGACGTGACGCAGCAGCTCACTTTGACAAAAGTATTGACAGCCAGAATGACCAGCTCCGGTTGCGTCTTTGCGTAGTTCATCAGGTATAGATAGACCAGCTTCTTCTGTTCCAAATCTTCCGTCTGCATGTTCTTCAGCACATCAGGGAACAGTCCCGACACATCTTTGCCCACCGTCATGTTCGCAATGACTCTTTTGATCGCATCCTTCCTCCTGTCTCGATACTCCGAGTTGAGATCCGCCCTGAGCTCAAAATTCTCTCCCTTCCGAGGAGCAGTGAAGAACCGGGGACGCGACATTGTGCGGTTGCGTATAGGCCAGAGTAGACCTCTATCGCTTTCAGCTGGTTATGCTGAAGGTCTCGATGCACCAGAATTGTCCGCGCTCCAGCACGTTCGCGTAGAAGGCTCAGCCGGGACGCTTCGCAGGTGGGCGATCTGATTACCGATGCGTCACTGGTGGAAGGTTATGACGTGAGCGTTGCCAGAAGTCGAATGGGGTCCACAATGGCGGAGGAGAGACCGATCCGGCCTATGGCATGTGTGAAAGCGATGGAACAACGATTTCGACGTGTGTATCGACTTGCATCTGGATGCGATCTTGGCTATACACACTCTACACTCAACACAAAGACTCGTGACTCAATTCGACTTCCTAAAGCTGCGACCTGACCGCCGGCGTCGAACGATTGAGCTGGCTTGTGCGCCGCCTACTGCCTGCCATAACTCAACCACGTGGAACAGTCGTGAGTCTGGCGAAAGGCGGCAGCAGGCACTATAGGCAGGCGGGGTGTGGCGCTGCAGATGGTGCAGATGCGCCTATCGCGTCACAACTTAGCAGTATGGGCCCTACGCCCGCTGCCTTGAGTACAGGCGGTGGGCCAGCCAAGCTGTGTGAGGCCGCCTGGCGTGCGCACGCATGATCAACATTACAGCTCGGCCATGACGCGCAGTCGTGAGTCCGTGAGTTGTTACGATGAGCTGCCATGGGGTCAAAGCCCAAAGTTGGCAACCACCACGACGGCGCTTGCTAGTTGACCATCATCTTGCACCGCCACACGCAATATTCACGACCTGAATAGGTAGTCCTTGACTACTTCAAAAGCAGCCGAGCCCCAGTTGGAAACAGCTTGATTCGTCCCCGACCTCTACGCAAGCCTGGCTAGACCCGCGATCAAGGTGAGAGTTGGCACGCCGCACATATCCCCTCCAGCTTCATCGCATACACCGCACACCGCCATTATGAACCCGGAGTACGACTAGTGAGTGGCAACGACAAGCAGGGGCTGTCGCGTATCTGTTGTGGAAGCTGATGTCGTTTTGATTTGGCTGCGACGCAACCACAGCCTCTTCAAGCTCTTGCTCATTGGCGATTCCGGCACGGGCAAGAGTTGCTTGCTGCTTCGTTTTGCTGACGACACCTACACGGAAAGCTACATCTCAAGTGCGTGCTAGTGCTTCGCTCTCAATTAGGGGATGGGGATGGGCGAGAGGGATTTCGGGCTTCGGGAAACTGCTTGGCGGCGATGGAGCATGCGTCGCTGCGAGCTCGAGGAACAAAGCTTGCGAGATAATCCATCTCAAAGTCGGCGGGCAAGACAGCTTCATGCCTAGTGATTATCACACACGTATAATCCTGTGCTGACAAGCCACGCTTCTCCTTCGTCATCTCAGCGATTGGTGTCGACTTCAAGATTCGCAGTCTCGAGTTCGAAGGCAAGACCATCAAGCTGCAGATTGTAAGTACATGCGTCTTGAAAAGCGATGGCGTAGCATCGTCAAAGCTGCGCACTTCGCCTAATCTGGGGCAACCTTGGCAAGAAAGGTGGCCCCTCAGCCCACTGAGGAGCAGTGCTGGCATAAAGAGGCCATCAAGAGCAGATCTGAGCTTTGATCTCCGCTCTGCCTACCAAACCGAAATGAGGTTGCCGCTTCTGGCCTCGGCCCAAAAGACTAAGGCGTGCTGTGCGCATGCTTGCTGTAATTTCGAGAAAGCTGCTGACATTTCTGCCCTCTGGCTTGATGTTCGAAGTGGGACACTGCAGGACAAGAGCGTTTCCGCACAATTACTAGTAGCTACTACCGCGGCGCTCACGGTATCATTGTCGTCTACGATGTCACAGATCAGGGTGGGTACCAGGCACCGTGTGGTGGCTCGAGAAGAAAGATGGCTGACCAATTGCACCTCTCGAGTACAGACACCTTCGCAAATGTCAAACAGTGGCTTTCGGAGATCGACCGATACGCTACTGAGGGTGTAAACAAGGTGAGCGGATTTGTACATTGTGTCGTTGCTGTTGTCGGAGACTGATCGACGTCTTCCCTCACACAGCTTATGGTCGGAAACAAGAACGATTTGACAAGCAAAAAGGTGGTGGAGTACAACGTTGCCAAGGAGGTGCGTGTGCCCTGCTTTTGGCCAATCGCAGACAATGAAAGAAGCTTGCCCCTCTTACACCTGTTACATTCTTTCTGCAGTTTGCCGATCAACTCAACATCCCTTTCCTCGAGACGAGTGCCAAGACAAGCGAGAACGTCGAGGCTTGCTTCTTGGCGATGGCTAAGCAAATCAAAGACAGGTGCGTCTCACGTTCCTTTCCACTTGCTAGTGCTGAAGCGCGGAGACTGAATCTGTCGATACATCTTTCGCAGAATGGGATCCACAACCGTCAACAATGCGCCTGGCAAGTCAAACGTAAAGCTGGGAGCGGGACAGTCTGTCGGAGGGGAGCAAAATGCTGGTGGTTGCTGCTAAATCCCTCGACATCGAGCGGCAAGGCTAGACTCGACTTACCCTCTGGCGAGAAGTCTAACGTGGAGCCCTGCCTCTAGGGTCTATTACGGCAATGGCCCCTTGCTTCTCGCTCATTCAGTGATTTGCGCTGCCTCTCATCGTTAGACGTAAATGTAGCGCTGGCATGGCAATGTATACGATTCGTCTTTGCTCTACGTGTGCTTCGATCAATTTCAGCCTCGAGCAGGCTAGCTCGTTGCGCTAAAGCATGACGATGAGAATGAAGAAATGCATTCGTGAAGAGCCACCTTTTGAATGCTCATGGTCTGTGCGTGGCCCAAGCAGAAGAGCTATTGTCCGCGCTGCTTGGGGCAAAGGCACCAGACATGCGCGCACCAGCGGAGTGTACAGGCGTAGACGCTGCGGATCCTGATCTAGAGTTGAAGACGGTCAAATCGTCGTCCGATCCGCCTCTGCTGCCCGCTCTCTTGATCGGTAGTCTACCGCTGCTAGATCTGTTCGTAGAGTGGCCCAGACTTCGCACGCCGCCACCCGCATCATCGTCGCTCGCTCCTGCCGCATCATCGCTGGCCGCATCTGCATCCCTTTCCCCAGGCGGTGCCCACGCGTCTTTGGGAACTCCCCACGCAGACGCCTCTCCGCTCATGTCGGCCGCCGCCATAGCAGCCGCATTTGCGGATGCTCTTCTGGCCGCTCTTCTCTCTTCATGCTTGCGCGAAGCCACACTATTGGTGAACAGAGGCGTCAAGTACCTCTGGTCGAGTGTGGAGAACCATCTTCCATCCCGCATGATGAGTCCTGCCCGATCCAAGAATGCCCGCACGCTCCTGTCCTCTTCGCCTCCAACGCCGACCAGACCTGCTTCTGCTGCAGCATCCAGATCGCCAGCTCCGCTGCCGAGGCTGGGACCCGCTAGACTGGCAGAGCGTGGCAGAACCTCTTCAGAGCCAGCACTGCCTAATTCATCATCGTCATAGTCACCGGATTGATCATGGTACAGTGCTCGAGTCTCTGCAGATCGTTTTCCAGTATCAAAGCGATTCCTAGCACGCCCTGATGATCGGTGCCGAACACCGAGTCGGGCGGATGTCGGAGAGGTCGCATGTTCGGACTCTTCGTCCGAAGACTCCGCATCGTCGTCCTCAACTCCTGTACGGATGCCGAGGATTTCTAGCATCTGAGGCGTCGTACCCCCAAATGCGACGACGGTGGTGACCACGGCGACCAAGACGGTAGTCTGCAAAGCAGCCGCATTCTGACCGACGATGCCGGCGGAAAGAGCAAAGCCAACGGCACCACGCAGACCAGCCCAGAAGAGCATAATTTGATACTCTCGGGGGAGCTCGTCTCCAGTGTTGCTAGCACGTAGAGCTCCGGCACCGCTTCGCCTTGCTCGCCGCAGATTGCGTGCGCGCTTGATGGCGTTGACTAGAGCTGCAAGCGGGAACACGGCGCAGTACCGCGAGGCTACGACTGCTGCTACGGTGACGACAATAAAGAGCGGCTTGTATACCAGCGTGTCTTGCGTGAAGAGACTGAGGCCAAGGTAGATGAAGATGAAATTTTCGGAAAGCTGCAAAAACACCACGCGCGATGAGCTGCCTGAACGAGTTGGTGGCGCAGTAACGTGGGACTCACACTAGACAAAGTCTGAAAAATGTATCTCGTCGCTCTTTGCGTGCGCCGAGACATGTTGTGATAAGCGTAGTGTTTAAGCGTGATGCCGCAGAAAAGCAAAGAGACGATGCCTGTGTGCCAAGCGTCGTGCAGTGTGGGTAAGACAAGATGCACGTGGAGCAGGCCTAGTCGACTTACCTCCCATGCCGACGCCGTTACTGAAGAAATAGCTCGTATACGCAATGAGAGCGACCAAGCAGCTTTCTAGCTGTGGATACAGACTTAAGCGAGAGTGCTTCAGCATCAGGCTGCAGCCCAGCCCAAAGCTGATGCCAAGCGCCATGCTGAAGGTGAAAGTGAACAAGAAGAGCCCAAATCCGTGAAAGAGCGAAGCTATGCTGATGGGTTTGCCTCGAAATGTCGACAAGACGCTGATAAGTAGAGCGAAGACATGCGGACGCTTGAGCAGATCCTCTCGAGAGATTGTACGGAGGCTTGGGGGCCAAAGACTCACTCGAACATGACGATGGAAACAGCATCATTGAGAATGCTTTCCCCAAAGATGACGCTGTACAGCTGCGGATCGACCTTGTAGGTGTTGAAAATAGCGAGAATGGTGACCGGATCCGTGGCGCTCAGCGTCGACCCAAAGATGAGGCATTCCAGTAAAGTCAAGGAGAGAGACTCGAGATGCAGCATTGACCAGACGTAGACCAGGACACTAACATCAAATCGAGCAAGGATGAGATGAAGAAGTTCGATTTGGAGCTCATGGTGGGGAGAACGTCCTCTGGCACTCACCCAATCACGATTGCACTGATGAAGGTTCCTGCAAAGGCGAACGTCAGGATCGTACCAAAATTGCGGAAGAAGCTCTCCTGTGAGCCAAAAGTGCACGGACGCGCCCAGTCAGTTGTGCGTGCAGGCAGCACTCGTCTGTGAACACGTCTACATGAAGTCGGGTCTGTCTTGGTACCTGCCATAGCCACGTACCCCGCCCAGAAGCTCACCTGCCGTAAGTCATAACCACTAGCCAGAATGATTGGTGGTAGAAGCACGTTGAGCATGATCGTGTTGCTGAAGCTCAACAGCCGTTGCACCTCCACACCCGGTCCAATCCTCAGCGCAGCGCCAACCAGCATTCCAGCGAAGAGACCAACCAAAGTCTCGTGCACCGAAGTGATGCGTCGCAGCTTGAGGTAGTAAGAGGCCCAAAAGGAGAGAATGAGCAAGAGCAAGACGAGGAAGAGTGCCAGGGAGGAATCTCGCTCTGCTTGTTCTGCGGGTGGAGGCACTGGCGCTGCTGGTAGCGTCGCTGTAGAGGTTGCCATCCCAGAGCTGGTGGCCGTGGCAAGAATCTGGGTAGCATCTTCGCCCAGAGCTGATGTGATGTCAGACAAGATAGAGGTCGTTGCTGTGCGGTGCGGCGCAAAGACGCCGTCTGACATCGTTGCTAGATGCGGGGATAAACGTCGAGTCTTGATTGTATGCTCGTCCTGACCGCGTTCTCGTTGTTGACTTTGCGCAGATGACGTGGTCCTCGTATCGCGCGGTAAAGATTAGTCAGGAGATCTGCATGGGCTGATGAAAGGTCTTGAAGAGGGTTGGAATATGATCGGTTACGGGTCACGATTGAAGGATGGTATGCGTGAGCAAGAGAGCACCTATCAGTAGTCAGAGTGCATGTATGTAGCTCCGCTCAGGTCATGTCTCGATCGAGCGCTCTCACATGCCTTGAAGTCAAGCAACCGTGCGCTTCCAGATGGGGCGAACATGCATCACGTGAGTTTGAGAACGGTATGATGCCGTGCAGCATCGTGCGGCAGAAGAGCGCGCTCACCATGAAGAGCTTCTCGTCTCATGCGTGACGTGCCGCACTGCTGGGTGCTGACCCGCGCCGCGAAAGCGCTTGCGCCTTTGCAAGCAAGCGCCTCGTCCCCAAAATCATCTCTACCGAGTCAAACACATCTCGCTTCCACTCAAGCGCGACACACCTATTCTGGCTGGTGTGCGGCTCCCCTTTCTTCCTTTCCACGCTCAAGTTTGAATCAGGAGGGGCGATCCTGCAATCAGGCCCACCGAAGGTTCTTCTACATCTCATGGAGTCTCAAGATCTTTTTCGCGCCGATGGCGCTCACAGCGGCGCCAGAAGAACGGGGGCTCTGCGTTCCCGCACCCGGGCCGCAAGAAACGTCAACTCCAACCCCTACTCGCGTCCAGCTGCCGTGACTGCCTCAACCAGCCATCGGCAACATCAGCCATCGATTGGATCTCTGGCAAACGAAGCCACTCAAGCACCAGAGACCAGTGTTCGGACCAGTGAAGCCCCCACCGCTGGCTCGACTACGCCCACGCGTAGGCTTTTCAGCAGTCTTGGTAGGGCCCTTACGAGACCATTGTCTTGGCTCAGCTCGCAGAGAGATGGTGCTCGCTCAGACCCCCCGGCAAGAAGTAGCACCCTGCCATCATCCTCGTCACTTGCGGATTCCCATTCGCTTTCCAGGCGAGCTCAGCTGAGAGAAGCACACCGAGCGGCAGCCAGGCGAGATGACATACCACAAAGCTCAAGCAGCTCTTCACTCAGACAAATAACAGACCGGCTTACCGCAGGTGCTATTGGACGTGGAAGCCCTGGTGTTGACGTTGAAAGAATCGCGGGCACGGGCGACGCTCGCGCGGTTCACTCCATTGGTCACCTCCCTCTCTCCCTTCCCCCGCCTCCACCACCTGCTGCCTATTCTACACCGACGCGCCCAGGACTTGACGACTTCGGTCAGTCCTTCAGGACCATGCGGTCACCTTCACCTGCGCACTCAAACGCGAGCGCCGCAATTGAGCAGGCTGGCCGAGGTCGTCTGGGATCCACAAGTGGCCAATTCGCCCAAAGCCGCGCTTCTTTCGGGCCAAGCAGTCGAGCGAGCCCCTTCGCCTCTCCGGCATACGCAAGAGGAGGTTCACTGGCTTCTGCTCGACCATCGGCGAGCGTTGCTGGTGGTCCCTCGACATCATCATTCCAGTACTCGTTTGGATCCGAACGCCGTCTGGGAGGAGGTTTATCTCATTCTTCGGTCTATAGCTCGCCGTTGGCGTTGGGAGCACGAGCTGCCAGTCCAGCTCGCTCCGCTTATGGACTACAGTCGCAAAGCCCATTTGCGCGCAAGCGCTCGGTGCTTAGCCAAGGACCAGCTAGTGTCGGTGGTAAACGAGCTAGCTCGCACTTTGGTGCGAGTGAAGCCGGAGCCTCAGAATTTGGCAGGGGCTTGGCGGCGTTTCGCTCGGGCAGTGTTCTTGGCCCTACCTCGCAATTTGGTGGCTCCAGGATGTCCACAGCCTCGCGTTCTGCAAAGGAAAGACCATGGAGCAGCTTGAAACTCGCTCCTACGTCTGGAGAACTACCATCGGATGGGGAAGTGCTCGCCCAGCAATACGCTGCTTTACAATTTGCTTCGGCCAACGATGATGCGGCGCGCGCCTCGGCTTCTCGAACAGGAAGCGTAGCACTTGGTACTAGAAGTAGAACTCCAGCGGATGGTATCTTCTCTCCTTCCAAAGCCACGCCACGACCCGAGATCTCCAAACGAAGAGCAGGCACGGCCGAACTAGCTATCGACGACGGCGCAAGCGCAGTGGTGAGTCATGCTGCAAGCGTCCACCGACGTTTGCAGGCGTGCGATCCGCGTTGTGTACTCACATTTGCCATGCACCGGTACGCAGAGTGGGAGTGCCAGGAAAAGAAGGTTGGTGCGCGATGAGGAGCTTGGACTGGTGTGGAAAGATGAGCTCGATGCTTCACGTGAGTCATGGCGACGCACTTTGTGCGCTGGAGCAGACAGGGTTGTCTGACGCGCAAGCGAGGGCGCCTGGTCGGCGTACGTGCTCTTTCTCACAGGACAACCTCGAACACCTCCCCAGAATGAGGCCGAAAGAGTTCTGAACTTTCTCGAATCTATGCGGGTCCCTCAGCGTCAATCGGGCAAGGGCATAGCGGAACAGGAGTCGGTGAGCTGAACCTTCCCACCGCAATCAAGCCAGTCCAAGGCAACGCTGACTCTACCGCCTCCTGCGCGTCGCAAAAGCCCATTTCCATGAGCACCGTGAAAGTTCCTCTGCCCAGCAGCCGCGATGAGGAAAGGCGCACCTCGTCCCGTCTGAGGGGACAGTCTCCCTTCACGCGCTCCTCCCGGAACCACCACTACGAAGCGAATAACGAAGGATTGCGCTCGAAACTCAAGCGGCCTCCACGACAGGACAAGGAATTGGGAATGAGTATTGGAGGAGCGAGAGACCGCAGTAATGGGGGACTTGCGATGCGAACGCGACAGGCCGCTTCTGCAAGCGCTGTAGAAGATGACGGAGCAAGCGGTTCGGAGGACGAGACGGCCCGGAGACCTACCACCCGTTCGAAGAGGCAGGAGCGCGAACCATCGTTCGAAGATGAGGTTGAGGAGCCGCCTCGTCGGCGCAATGCGATAAGGACTCGCGCTCAAAAGCAACGGATAGCACCTGATGCGATGGATGAAGACGCAGAACCGTCGCCCAGACGACTCAGGTCCGGCCGTGCTCTTCCAGCACCTGCACCAGCGCCGCGGGCAATACCATCTCCCAAAAAGCCTGTTGTGGAGCTACTTCCAAGCGCGGCAGCATCCAGGACTGGCAGCGTTGGCGAGGCGTCGAGTGCTCAGAGCAAGGACACCTTCAAAGTCTTGGCCGATCATCCAAACGGGAGCAGGCAGAAATCTAGCCTTCGACAGCGTTCGGACAAGCAAGGCCCAACAACGCGAGAGCCTGCAGCCAGAACACGCGGGACCAACAGGGTCGCTTTTGTGGACAGCGATGATGAGGAGAGCAGCGCTGCGGAAGAGGCTGCAAGCCAAGAGCTCAAGAAGGTTGACTTGCCAAAGATTGCTTTTCCGGCTGGCTTCAAGTTTACCCCAACGAGCTCCCCAAGTGGAACTCCTCCTCCCGCGTCTACGCCCTTTGCAGCTTTGCCCGCACCGGGGGATGATGCGAAGGATGAGGCGGCTGCCGCCTCGAAAGTACCAACACCCAGCGTTTCAGCCAGCAACCTCGCACCCAATAGATCAGCATCCGTCTTTGAGGCTGCGCCGCCTTTCTCTGCAGCTCCCGGCGGTGGCGCCAAGCAGCCCGGAGGCTCAACTCTTGGCTTGGGGGAAAAGGCAGGCGGCGTCTTCAGCTCCGCTGCTCAGCCTTCTGGCGACTCACTCCTCTCGCGCTTAGCGCCACCTTCCACAGAAAGAGAGAATGAGTCAACGACGCCGAGGAAGCCACCTCCAAAGGTCGGCTTCACCCTCCCAGAAACGAATCACACAGCGAGCAAAACTGAGGCGGAAGTCCGGGGGCCTCCGAAGCCTTTGTTCTCTTTCAAGCCAGCGCCTGCCTCGACTCCAGCATCTGCAGGATTCTTTTCCAAGCCAAGCGATGCGAATCCCATAGAACACAGGCAAGATGAGCGCAATTCTGGACCGCCTCCCAACTTCTTTGGAGCTGCAGGCGTATCTGCACCAGCCAAGTCGAATCCCTCCACAACTATGTCTCGGCCTGCGGGTAGCGTCGTACCCTTCTCATTCGCGAAGCCTGCTCCCAATGCGCAGGAGCAACCAGTCACTCCCACCAACACGTTCTCATTTGGGCAGCTTCCAGCGCCAGCACCAAAAACTGGCAGCTTCTCCTTTGGCCCGGCGCCCTCACTCTCAAAGCTGGCCGGCGAGCCAGAGCGAACGAACAGCGACGGTGGTGCAAATACAGCCCCTGTCGCATCGCTGTCGACGGCTGGCGGCAAGCCGGGGGAAAGTGTGGGGCCAGGAACTCCGTCGCAGCCTTTTAGCGGCTTTGGAGGGCTAGCCAAGCCGACTTCCAGCAACAAGCGAGGAGCGGAGGATGAAAACCACGAAGCTCAATCAAGTGCCAAGAAAGGCCCCTCGCAGCCAGATTTGAGTGGCGAGAGCTCAAAAGCTGTGTCTGCAGCGCCATTATCGTCATTTGGTTCTGGCGGCGCAGCGATGCCTTTCGGCACTGCGCCATCGTCAGAGGCTGCTGCTAGTGCTGGGCCAACAAATTTGTTCACCGGATTCGGGCAGACGCCGGGCAAGAGTGTAGCCGCAGCGCCTGCTGGTACATCTGCATCGACTGCCAGCTTGACTTTCAGCTTTGGCGGCGCACCTTCTACACCTGCTCCAGGGGCTGCTCAATCGGGATTCTCTTTCGGCGCAACCGCCAGCGCGGCACCTTCCAGTACACCGTCTGCCTCCACCCCATCTGCCATCTCTGCCTCCGGCCCTCCAGGCCAGCCAGCTCAGGCCACCGGTCTGTTTGGAAATGCCGCGCCGAATTCCAAGCCTTCGCAGGCCCCCTTCAAATTCGGTGCGCCAAATACTGCACAGAATGGCGCGGTCGCGTCCAGTGCAGCGCCATCCCAGCCAGTGGCTGCCGCTTCATCAAATGGAGGGTTCGGGGCACCGGCCATCAATACGTCCACCGGGCAATCCTTTGGCCCTGCTTCTCCTGCGTCGCCTGGCGGCTTTGCATTTGGTTCGACTCCTTCAAACCCGCCCATGACGAGCTTGTTCGGCTCCAATGTCAACTCTGGCGGTTTCAACGCCCCAGCTGCGTCTGCTCCCGCCGGCAATGCACCTGCTCCCTTCAAATTTGGGACGCCAGCCAATGCGAGTACCGGCACTGGCAATGGCGCTTTTGGCGGCTTCGGTGCTGGCGCAAACGCTCAAGCTACACCGACCGCATCGAGCGGTGGATTTGGAGCGTTTGGAAGCGGTAGTACGAACAGCATAGGTTTTGGGGTCAATGCGCAGCCCTCGGCAAGTGACAGCAGACAAGAATCGCCTTTCACGTTCGGCCAACCAAGTAATGCTCCTGGTGGAGGCAATTCTAGGCAAGGCTCACCTTTCACGTTCGGTGTGCCGCAACAAGGCAACGCGCAACAGCCGAGTCTAGGAGCTTTCGGCTCTGGGGCAAGCAACAATGCCGGTGGCGGATTCACATTCTCCGTGCCCAGCCCTGCCGGAAGCCGAGGAGCCTCGCCAGCTGCAGCGCCAGCCAATCCATTTGGTCAGGGTCAGGCAGGCTTTGGAGATGGTGCTGCGTCTGGAGGTAGCCCTGCGCCCTTCGTATTTGGTTCTAGCGCCACGAACAACACATCACAGCCTGCACAGCCGGCCTCCCCATTCCAATTCGGTGCTTCACCGGCCGGCGCCGCCGGCAACAGTGGGGTCCTCACCACGCCGACCACTCCTACAGGCGGAGGCATGTTCAACCTTGGCGCAGCTCCCACCACGCGTCAGACGAAGGCAATGCCGAAGACGAGAAGGAGACAAGCATGAAGTGATTGTCGCACCCCGTTCCGCGGTACATCACACGACTGTCAGGTCCATTGACTTATGTCCCTCCGTGCTTCCGCGCATATGAGGCGGCGACTCAAGTGTCGCAAGCCCCTCTCTCGCCACAGTAATGATGCTGCAATTCTACATTTCGAAGGCGATTAGAAGGGGGCTGTGAATGGTTTGCGCCTGTGCCAGTGACCTGGGTTCCTCGATTCCTGCTGCCGCTAGATTGTGGAGAAGGGTCGTCTTTGTGATTGCTATTCGAGTTGTTCAAACCTCCAAGTCATACGCCATGATCTCTGCGAGGCGAAAGCATAGCTGCATGAGCAGCGTACTGAGCTTCATAGGGATCTGCACCGCGCGCTTACCGTCTAGCGCTGGGCTCATGACCTCCTTGACGAAGCTGTTCAAGCGAAAAAGTGATCGAGCGTAAAATGTGTCTGATTTTCGTGGGCTAGCGGAGATGGCAAGGTGGCACTTACGTTCTGTGACCTTCATCATCCCTATATTTCTCGTAGTCCTCACGATGACGGAATCGAGAGTACAGAGCCCAATTGAAGCCCTTTGTCCTATCCGCATACACTGGCTCGGCCCATTTGAACTCTGTCAAGAGAGGCTGCAAAGAAGGATAAGTTCCCAGCTCGTTGCACTTGGTGACGAAGGTGGAGAAGGCCGACTCGTCGGACCGCACAGAGGGCTTGAGCTTGACGAGAACGATGTGTATCAGCTCAGGCATGGTGGGCGAGACTCGGTGAGATTATGTCTCGGATCTTATGTCGCAGAGAGACTGGGATGTGCAGAAGATGAGAGACAGGAGCGCTGTGCGTGAGGTGAAAAATGCGGAAGATGGTGATACAGTCTCAAGAGCGCAGCACACCTTCTCGGCAACCATTTGAGCAAGTGGAGCAGCGGGTGACGCATATATACGACTCGCATTCACGATTCGTGATTGATTGGCAGCCCGCCCACATGGCATGGCCCGCGCGTAGTGGGCCGTACTTGTCGGGGCATATAGCATTATTGGCTCAATTGCACTTCACGCACACTCATGATCGAGCAGACTCGTGACTGCGCCGCGAAGAAGCGCGTCGTCCTTCCATGATTTCGCTTCATCCAGCAGCATGCAGCAGCAATCATCGAGACAGCGAAACAAGTTCGCTCGTACTCGTCTACCAACGCGCGCCTAGGCAGCTAAGTCTCGCTGTCTGAAACGTACCTTGATTCGCACTTCGCCACAGCCAGCACCAGCCGTCAGTAGCTGATCGCATTTCGATCCCGCGTCAGCGACCCAAGCCATGGCCTCACCTTGGCGGTCGGGAGAAGCGGCGTTCCGCGCCTCGACTGAGCAATCTCGGCGCCATGTCGCTTCAAGTTCCAATTTAGAGCAGATTGACGCCTCAACCTCAGCTTTGTCAGATCATGATGAAGAAAGTGAGGCAGGCGACGACCACTTGATCGCACTGGAAGAAGGCGATGTGTCCTCCTTCTTGCCTGCCCAGGCCACGTCGAGCAAAGCCGAGTCTATCAATGACGCTAAAACGATCGCACTCCCTTTCACAACGACTCCCCGCTCCACGCCTGGCCATCGCAAACAGCTCCAATTGTCTCCGGATCCAGAAGATCGATCCGTATCTACCACTGGCAGAGCTAGCAGGCAACCGAAGCGGACTCGCACCGATTACGCAAACGCGGCACCCGAAAGCAGCGTGGCATCGAGCTCTCATCTCATCCCTCGAAGCCCCAACAATCATCTAGACCTCAGCCAAACGCTTCCATCCATCACTACGCCACGTAGTCCAGCGATGCGTGTTCTTGGTGGTCTTGCAAGCATCTTTTCGCCCTTCTCCCGGGCGAGGAACAGCGCAGCCTTCAGGATCGGAGAGGAGCAGAGTGAGGACCAAGATCTGGTAGAAGCTGTGGCGAGAGAACCGCTTCCAGACTCGGATGATGAAGCAGACGAAGCCAGCGATGCGAGCATGGGCTCAGCATCACTGGACGAGACACAGGTGGGTTGAGAACAGCTCAAGCAGGCATTGTTTGCTCTCTACTGACTTGCACTCGACGTGCACCGTCAACGCAGCTCGCGCACGACATTATTCCTCCAGCACCATTGCCGCCATTTCCCCACACCTTTGGTGCGGCTTCAACGCTTCGGCGTAGGTCTCCTGAACCTGCGCCTGAAGCGTCGCGGATTGTCAGCGGGCCCCATCACTTCATCGCGGCAGCTAGGCAGAGCGGGCCTAGTTTCAGCGCATTAGCCACCCTAAATGTGCCTGAGGGACAGCCCAGCCCTCCCCACACCTACTCGCCAGCAACGCCGCATGGCGCCCACAACGCCGGATACTCAGCAGGCCATCCGCCCCTCAACGGGCATATCCACCTCAGCTCCCCCCTTTCTCGCAACTACGATTTGCTATCTCGATTCTTTGCAGAGAAGGCCACTCTGCAGGGTGCTGGCGGGCCCAATGCCTCAACTGGGCTTTCAGAAATCGAAATTGCGGGTTGCATGCGTCTCTTGGAGGAAAGTATGGCAGCGGGTAGAGCTGGCGAGATTGATCGCTTGAGAGAGAACGCACTCAGTAGAGCTGGGAGCGCTTGGTCGGAGTCGAACTTTTCTGGATATCCAGGAGGTCCGAGCGGTGCGGGCGGTGACATCGACTTTGTCGCAAGGCGTAGTCCGAGCCTGCCACTTGGAGCTGCTGCTGGTGAAGGATGGGCGGGTAGCAACCGCTTGATTAACAGAGGTTCAGCTACCGTCTCGCGACCCTCCAGCTCGGTGAGTGGCACCAACCAGCTAACGACTTCATTGGATGAACCCAATGACCAATGCTTCTTCTTTACAAAAGTTCCTTGCCCCCTCGGCAACTGGGCGATCAGACTTCGCAAGGCCGTACGCTTCACAGCCCAGCCAACTACGAGGCTACGACGCGTCGGAAAATTCGCTGCGCAGATCACTGGCCACTAGCTTCTCTCAGGCTGCTCTTTCACGTGGAGCTCGTGCAAATACGGCCAAACTTGCTACTGCTGGCTCCACTGGTAGACGAGAGAGGCGAGCGTACCTGGGACCAGGACTCGGATTCAAGAATCCCAACGCGCTCCGCACTTCCCGTGCAAGACCGCCGATCGAAAACGTCTCGCTGCATGAGCCGCTTGGTAGGTCTAGGTTGCAGCCAGAGGTGTTCGCCGCCTCGCCTACGGGCGCTCGCATTGATCAACAGGCCGAAGCTGGAAATCCTGGGGAGGGAAAGCGACGCCGAACGGAGGGTCCCAACGCTTCTGCAGCATCAACATTGAGCAACGCGGGTCCACTATCCTCCACGTCGTTGTCGGAGGGTGGTTCAGCGACAGCAAGCCCTTCGAAGCCATCGTCGGCTCAGACGGCTAGTCCTTCGACTCGAAGCGCGACCGCTTCTGCGATGCTGTCCATCCTGTCGTCCGGACCTGCGCTTCCGCCGCCGACACGAACAAAGCCTGCTGCACCAAAGGAAGCCATCAATCCGTACGAGATGCCTGCCGATTCTTTCCTTGGCCGCAGTGCTAACAGCAGCCCTTCGAGCGGCGCTGCATCTTCGGCAAGATCTAGGCGAGCTGCCACGTTGCAGGCCGCAAAGGAAGAAAGCAGACAGCGCAAGCTCAAGGCCAAGGACGAAGCGAAGGCTAGAGAGGAGACTGCGCTAGAGCGGATCGAGAGAACCGCTCCTAAGCCTGCCAGCAGCTCTCGTTCGGTCGGTACAAGATCAACGAAAGCGACAGATGCGGCCGTTGAGTCGACGCAGAAGGAGACTGCCGCTCTGAATGCTGAGGAGAAGGCTCGTAAGAGGCGCGAGGCCACGGAGGAGGCTAGAAGAAGGATGAACGAGATGATGACCAAGAAGACTGGCGCGACCGTCAAGAGTCCCAGCGTTGCACAAGCTAGGGCAGAAGAAACGGCACAGAAGGACAACGATGACGACAATGATGCGCCTCCATCTGAACCTACCGCTAGGCCGACGGCACCACAACCCTTTGCTTTCGGTGCTACCCAATCCAGCTCAAAGGCTTCGCCATCCGCTCCTGTAGCTGATCAAGCCCCAACACGATCTACAAGCGCCATCGAGCCCAAAACAGCCGCTGTGTCGACTGCGCCCAGTCCTTCATTCCTCGGTGTCAAGCCTCTGCCCTCGGCTTTCGCACCCAAGAAACCATCGCCGCTTTCCTTGGCTGCATTCGCGCCCGAATCACCGAGCTCCAGCTCAGAGACTGAGGGCGACGAGGCCGCACGGTCGAAGGGGCACAAGCGTCAGGCTATCACAAGGCAAGCTCAGAAGAATAACAACAGTAGCAGCAGTCTTCACAGCCAAGATGATGGTGAACCTGAAGAGGGAGAGATTGATCAGACTGCGGATGCCGTCCTGCCGGAGAGGCCCGAGTCGAACGCAGTGCAAAGCTCATTCAGCTTCAGTGCTGCTTCTCGTCCTGCCTCGAAACCCACACCCTCGACGTCTTCGTTCTCGTTCGCTACCCCTGCTCAGAGCGCAGCTTCAATTTCCGGCCCATCATCTACATTCGCCTTCACCAAGCCTGCCGGACAGCCTTCTACTAGGAGTGCTATCGCCCCGAGTTCCAAGATGTCTGCCGTACCATCCCCGACGTCGACAAGTCTAGACTCGGGCGATCCGGCTTCGGCCAGACAAGCTGCTTTGAAAGTATCAGCCGACGCGTTGCCATCTTTTGACTTCAGCAAGGCCGTACGTTTTGTTGGCGAAGCCAACTCAGAGGACAGCTCAGACACGAAGGCGGCCAAGGAAAAAGCATCACAAGTCGCAGTGGCTTCGCTACCTGCCTTTACTTTCACTTTCAAAACGCCTTCAACTTCTGTTGATCTCAAAATTAGCGCCGATGCGTCGCCGACGACTGTCCCATCCGTTACGACGGACGCCTCGTCCAGCCATCCTCAGTCGAGCTCTGAGGTCGCTGCTGCACCAGCTAGCGACGATGCTGCGGCCATGTCGAGCGACCCGCAGGGTCTTGCAGAAGGCGAAGGTGAGGAGGACGAGTCCACCTCGTACGAGGTGCGCGGTAAATTTTGGAAGCTTGCCAGTGGAACTTGGGCGGATCTTGGAATCGCAAACATTCGCATCAAGACGCACAAAGATACTGGGAAGAGCAGATTGCTGGCTAGAAACGAGGTCACTGGCAAGCCTATCGTTGTGAGCCCTCGAACATCGTTGCTCGCTTCGCCAGCAAGGAGATGGCTGATCTGCTTCCTTCTGCTCCGTCGCACGCTCTTCATACACAGAATTTCAACGTGTACGAATCTCTGTCTATCAAGCTCGAGAAGCAAGTCGCAGTATTCACTGGCTTTGGGGAGGATGGCAAGCCGGTCAACTACCGCTGCAAAGTCAAGACTGTGCAGAGCGCTCAGGAGCTCAAGAGCAAGCTAGAAGAGTCTGCGCGGGCCGGCACAGCTTAGCGAGCGTGCATGCAACCCCTGACGTGCTCTCGATGACCTCTCGGTGACTTCTTCACCTACATGCTGCCTTGTCACTAGCAAGTTGATAAAGCGATGCTATGCCATTGGCTGTCCTTCTCCAAGGCTGATGTGTTTCTATGGTATGAGGGTCTCCTGGATCGCAGCCTTCTCTGGGGCTGGCTATAGCTGAAGTATGCTGGAAGTCGATCTCTACACGCTCAATGGAGCTTGGGATTGTCTGCCAGCCCGCTCGAGCGCTTCGTCTTGTAGCTCGTGCGCCGGCCTCCACGTTCCGCTATTCGCATCTCTCAAGACGGGATTGGGAAAGGTATTGAAAGTGCTGCCGAGTGATGTGTACCTGTGTACGGGCAATGAGCGTGTTCGATTAGCTGTCAAGGCACGAGTAGCTGGGTCGCAGTCGGTCTTCATTCACAATCCCCACACCCACCCTTCATCATAGAGGACGCAATACGGCACGCCTATAGCGTTTGCTGTAGCTGTTCGATCTCGTTCTTGCTGCGTCAAACCGGCTCCACCCTTGCCAAACAGAGGACACCTCAGAAAAGTCCAAACGTCTGCGTATTTCCAATCGAGTATGGGATGCACCCTCTCCACTTGAGGCCAGCCTGGATCCGTTGGCTTGCGATCCGTCAATGTGTCTGCAAGGAGATACGCTTTGACATGAATCTTTGCTCACTCGACGTTGCGCTTCTCTCAGCAGATGAAGACACTCACTACCATGTGGATCTGTCCGCCTCGTCCCCACAAAGATTGCCTTGACCGAATGCCCATTGCTATTCCTCTCGTCGCTCGTCTCAAAGCCAACTCTCCTCTGTCCTTTGCCGCTCAGATAATCTTCCAGCCCGCTCCTCATGCCTCCTCGAACCCTGACCAAGTCCAAGTTGTACCGCTGCCTGCTCGCAGTGACGAAATCCTCCACCTGCTGGAACGGTGACTCGCAGGTGATGTAGACTGCTGGAAGAGGTTGGAGGGGATGAGAAGGACTGGGCGACGCAGATTTGGAGGAAGGAGCCGTTCTGCGCTTCCCTGTCCGCCTGAGAACTGCGCAGATGAGGTGAATAAGGACGTTACCTGCAGAGTGCAGGATCGCGTTGCCAAGTTGAGGGCAGGGGTTTGTGATGAGTGAGAGTCTTTTTGCCTGACAGTAGCTACTGTGCCCAACTCACAATCTTTGCCGCCGTTGTAGCTTAGCGCTACCTGCTCGATGCTGCGATCGAGCATTTAAGCCGAGTCAGCCCGAGTCCACGACCACCTGAGAACTCAACTTGGTGCGTGTGCTGGACTGCGCACACTCACCCGCACTCGAGGATGACCTCCTCGACCAAGGACACTGCCTTTTTGACCAGCCCTGCCAGCCTCTGATGCTCAGAAGACAATTGAGGCTTTTCAAAGATGGCATAGACCGCATCTATGGACGCCAACCATTCCGAATCGATCACAGCCTCGCCAAGCGCTGCCGTGACGTTGGAGCTGGAAATCGCCTGTGCTGCACTGTCGTCGCCCTTGACGTCTCCGGATGCCATGTTGCGGGGTGGCTGGGATTAGAAGGTCGCGCTTGCGAACGTGGGCTCTCGGAGCGACACCACTCGTGACTGGCTCGTCTTCTCCGAGCGTTCTGGTGAACGATACCTCGTTCCGCCTAAAGATGAGCCTGGAGGGCAAGCGAAGCTGACGCTGGTCGATGAAGCGTGCGGCGGGACATTGTCAGCTTGATTTGTTTGTGCGGTGAGCAATCATGCAGCTTGATGAGAAGCTTTCATCACACGTACCCTACGCGCGTGCAGGCCTGATTGGTGGCTTCGTCCTGCGCCTGCGCCTGCGCGCGCGCGTAAGCCAGCGCCGCCGCTGCATAGACGAGTGTGAGTCTTGAGTCAAGTACCTAATCAAAATGGTTGCCGCTTGAACGCGTTGTTGTGGAGTCAAAGAGTTGCGGGCCAGAATGTGGAGCACGTGACAAGAAAATCGTGGGCCATTCACGATTGAGCAGAAGCACGGCGAAACCGGCCTTGCTGCTGCATGCATGCCGCCTGTTCAAGACTCATCAAACTCGATTGAGACTCTTGACTCGTGATTTGTTGAAAGTCCAAAGTGCAGCTGGATCCAAGCTCGCTTGCTCGACCTCCTCGCATTGCCAGGCGTGTCCTAGCCATCGACACTTGTGATGCCAAGTCCAGATTTTGACAGCTCCAAAATTGACAAGCGCGCTGAGCACGATGTGCAATGTGCGTCTCGTAATGACGGGACGCGAACCTCGCAGTGTGATACGGGAGTGGGGAACATCTAGAGCGAAGACGAGCGAAAGGGACCAGAACAGGTCCTCAATCTTCTCCATGCCCATTCAGTGAGCACCGTGTGGGTTGGGTACAGCTGCAGTACAGCTTATGAGTGTTTGAAATGCAGCAAAGTGAAGAGGCGAAATGAGATTTGTGGGGCACTGTTCGGCCAAGGGCTCAAGTGGACATGCTCAGCCCCGCGTCTCGTCCACCCCAGGCCGGAGATGGACCGGAGCTCAACAGCGAGCTTCGACTTCTCGTCGACGAGCTTGATTATTGGTCAAAGTCATCGCTTCATCTCCCCTAGCTGTGCTACATGGCGCGCAGCTCGACGCAATCGGTCACTGCTCGTCGTGAACTTCACCCGCGTCCACGCGATACATGGACACGGGCCCTGGGTCGATGCTTCCAGGCGATGAAAGAAATGCAGGCTCAAGCAATGATGTGTTGTGTTGTTGCGAAGTGCTTGAGCCACAATCCACGAATCCATTCGATGCAGCCGCGCGTGCCTATACGACGACCCCTGAGCAAGGAGCGGTTTCCGGCAGAGATGCTCGCTTTCCGGGGTAGCATCTCGCTATAATCGCATGCAAATTGGACGTGCTATGTATATGCGTTGCATACCAGTGCGTGGCGTCGAGCAGTCTGACTGCTATCCACGTCTCGTCCGTTGCATGCAGATTGCGGGGAAGTGGATGCACAGCTACGATTCAGAAGACAAACTTGCCACCAACTTGACCGACAGGTTCCAGGAAGGACATGCACGCTACCTGGGGCGATGGGTCCCCTCCAAAGACGTGCCCTATCCTCAGGTTTGCGTCAAGAAGCGTGAATGTGAGGTGAAGGCGTAATGTTGCCTTTGCCGCCCACCCTGGAGCTCCCACAGGGCTCTTGCGTCGTAGCTTTGCATTCCTCCTATCCATGAGGGGCAGCAAGCTCTCGATACGCATTTGGCGCGTGCGCCCCAATCGAAGAGTATGGAGGGGGCCATCCGACAGCAAGACAGCGGCAGCAGCTTGCTGTTTGGGTGGCTACACTCGCCATGCCATGAAACAATAGAACAATGAATCGCGAGTGTGAATGACGGCAGGCTTGTCAATACCTCACGCTCTCGACGTGGACATGGGATGGAGGACAGGCCACTCACGACTCGAACTGTGAAGGGCGAGCCGTGTCTGCGCTCTGCACCCGGCTGCCGCCTGCCGCTGCCTATTTGGTACAGCTGATGCTCGCTGCCGTGATGAAGATTCACATTCAATTCGAATCAAGATTCAATTGATTATTTCACGTAATACGCGATCGAGGTCGCATCGGGAGCATCAGCTTTCCACGCGCATATTCACGCGGAACACCTGACACGCGCGTGCGCGCGCCCACTCATGCACTCAGCAGCACGCACGTACTTGACCGGACTTGGACTGTGTGATCGACTGCATTGGCCCCATCAGCTTGCACAGCCCTTCCTTCTGCCATGCATGCCTAGCTACAGCAGCAGCACCGAGCGAGCCTATATACACCCCACGCATAAGCTGTTGCTCTGGCTGATGACGCTGCGCGTGCGTGATGTGTGCAAATCAGCATGCAGCAGCATCAGCAGCAGCAGCCAACCCAAAGGGACCCTCGCGGCATCAGCCTCTGACGTATCGCGCCGAAGTGCAGGCGCTGCTGAGCTGTGCCCGTCTGTACATGCGACGCTTGAAATGTGAATGGACTTCTCGACTTCGCTCTTCTGGCATGCACGTTCATACCACTTGGATGGCTATGTGCTCATCGGACTCCTCGACCACAGCGCTCTCCTTGCGAAGCGCGTCTTTAACTTACACAACCCTTGGTCCAGCCTCGACTTTGCTCAGCATTCACGAGCTCATCTCGCCCTAATCTTTCCATATCGATTCGAGGCCCCTAGCGCGCCGCACGATTGTGGGACGCGGAAACTAAGTGGTTAAAGAGCAGCGGTGTGCCCAGCTCGTGCTTCACCTTGGTCTCGCCGTCGGCGCAAGAGACAAAGGCGATTAAGTAAGCTGTAGAGCGAAAGCTGTCGATCATTAGCTAGCCACCTACTCTCCCGCCTCCCTTCCTTCCATGAACTTCAAGTCGGGACCAAATCTACATTCCATCAGCCCTCCATCCACTCCCAAATCAAAGCTAATAGCTCTGCGCACCTCTTCGCCCCATCCCTCAGAACCAGAGAGCGGCGAAGGCGAGAGCGATAGCGGCGCAGAGCAACCCCACATCACCCCAACTGCCGTCAACGTACACAGAAAGGAGAGCCTGTTTGGTGAACTCTTGAACAGAAGACATACCCAGAGAGTCAAGGGCAAAAGGAGAGAAAAAGTCAAAATGGTGGGACATCACTTGCACTCCGCTTTCAGGAGTTGGTTCAAAGACGTGAGTACTCGCCTTACTTTGGGTCGCTTAGCGCCGAAGATGGTGTGGCTGCTCGAGTTCGACTGAGCGAGCTACGGATAAGCATTCATTTGCGCACGCCAGAGCTCAAGGTCTGAATGTGGCTGATCATCTGCACTCCGATCTTCTCTTTTATTTTGCAATGACAGACGGAGGACGACGGATCTCCGCTGCTTCCTGGAGCCCTCTCGAAAAAGTACAACGTCTTGCCACACGTACTTGGCCAAGGCAGCTTTGCGGTGGTCAAGTCGTGCGTCGAAAAGTCGACAGGGACTGAACGAGCACTCAAAATCATTGCCAAAAAGCCCCTGAAGGAAAATAGCGAAAAGATGCTTCAGGAGGAGATCCACATCTTGGGCAAGGTAGAGCATCCTCACGTGTGAGTGGCCGATTCGCGCCTGGGCTGATCTACATTGGGTTGCGAGCTGACCTCTAAGAGAGACCGCCCCGCATGTTGTTGCAGCATCAAAATGTGGGATCTGTACGAAACAAAGGAAGGCGTCTTCATCGTGACTGACTTGTGCCGAGGTGGAGAGCTGTTTGATAGGCTTGTGGAAAAGGTCTTCTACAACGAGCTGGATGCTAGGCATATCGTCAGGCAGATCTTCGAAGGTGTTGCCTACCTGCACAAACAAGACATCATCCATCGCGACCTCAAGCCGGAGAACATCCTGCTACGGGAGAAGAAGGAACCAAGCGATATTGTCATCTCGGACTTTGGCTTGAGCAAGTTTATTCCGGACGAAGGTCTGCTGATGACTGCATGTGGAAGCCCGCAGTACGTTGCGCCAGAGGTCCTGCTTGGAAAGGGATATGGACCCCCAGTCGACATTTGGTCTGCTGGAGTCATCGCTTATTGTCTCCTGGCAGGATACACGCCCTTCTATGGCGAGGATCAGCCGACGCTGTTTCAGCAGATCATCGGGATGAAGGTCGAATTTGAGCCGAAGTACTGGGGCGAAGTTTCAGACTCGGCCAAAGAATTCGTCCTGAAGTGTCTGTGCCCCGCCGAAAAGCGTTTCACACCAGAACAAGCCCTCAAGCACCCGTGGCTTGCGGATCTCCCAGACTTGCACGAGGATACTCCTCACGAACACAGGGGCTGCTGCCTCAAGGAAAGCGCGAAGCGCAACTTGACAGCCAAGGAAAAGTTTGGCAGAGCAGTGACGGCGGTAGAGACAGTGTCGTACTTGCAGAAACTTCATCATCTTCGCCAGCAACACTCAAAGGACATTCCAGAGGAGAAGCTGCACTCTTTGATCAAGGTAGCGACGAACATCAGCTTGCACAAGCGTGGTGACTCACTGCTTCATTCTCCTACTCACGAAGGAGCAGCTGCGGATCGCGACGTGTCGACTGCAACCTTGACGCCCTCCTCTTCGGTTGTGCCTACTCCCGAGGGCTCCCAAATTCAGATGGCAGACCCCGAGGAAATCGCGTCCAAGAGTACTGCCGCCAAAGGTGCTGGTCGCGATGCCCCCTTCTGCATCGCAGGTGGCACTGCGCCGACATCTCGGCGGGGTGGTACAGCAGCTGTTGCCGCAGCTGCAGAAGCCACCGCCCACGGTGAGAACCCTGCTGGTAATTCCGAGGGTCACCCAATCGCAGATGATGGCGCGAAATCCGGTCAGTCAAGTCCTGCGCGCTCCACGTCCGGACTGTCAGACCAAACGATGACGCCCGGCAGAAGGGCGGCGAGCAAGAAGCCAGAGAAGAAAGACGCAACGTTGGACACACTTCTGGATCAGTACAAGTCGGCTCAATTGCCATCATCGGCGCGCGTCGATCCCACTGCTGAGATGCAAGAAAAGCCAGAAATGACGATCAGCAAAGTCTGGCAGTACATTCCCTTCTTTATCAATCAAGGCATCTCCATCACCTCGGCCATTGCTTCTCATGCGGTATACGGACCACCAAAGAAGTCTTGGGGTATCGAAATGAGCGTGTTCACCAGAATCATGCGTGACTCAGCACAGTATACCCAGTTCGCAACGATCGCTGGCATGCAGTCGTTCTTTGAGCTCAGCTCCTTCTTGCCGGTGCCCAAGGACGGATTGATTACGCCTGTCTCTTTCAGAGTCAAGAAACGCAATCTGAGGGGTCTACTGGCCGAGGTGGATGCTCAGGAAGATGGAAAGCGCGAATTGACCGGCGAATGGGTGGTTGGCAAACAGACCTGGCGAAGGCTTCAATCGGATTGGAGGTCCGGCAAATCTAGGGAAAAAGAACGCGTGATCCTGTACATTCACGGAGGCGCCTATTTCATCATGTCCGCAGTCACCCATCGACCTTTGACGATCGCCCTGTCCAAGTACACGGAGTGCAGAATCTTTGGCATCAACTACCGGCTCGCGCCCGACTGCAAATTTCCTGGACCCCTTCATGATGTTGTTTCGTCTTGGTTCCGCTTAACCGAAGACCTTGGCATCCCACCGAGCAACATTGTGATCGGTGCTGACTCTGCAGGTGGAGGGCTCGCCTTTGCACTCATGTACTACCTCAGGGACAATGGCTACGACCTGCCTTCTGGGGCCATCCTCTTCAGCCCTTGGGTCGACCTCACCATGTCCTGCGACTCGTGGGAGACTAATTCGGCCTTTGACTATTTGCCTATGCCTGTCAGCGGCAACCACATGAATCCAGTCGCTGCTTACTTGGGTGACAACATCGAAAAGTACATCACCCATCCATATGCAAGTCGTGAGTTGCCCCCAATAGATCGGTCTTGCACGTCTTACTGACAAGCGTATGCCCTCGCCACAGCGCTTTTCGGCGACATGCGGGGCTTGCCTCCCTTGCTTATTCAGTGCGGCGATGCCGAGGTACTTCGAGACGAAGGGACCTTGCTCGCACACAAGGCAAGCAAGTCGGGAGTGGCAGTTAGACATGAGCTGTACGAAGACTGCGTGCACGTCTTTCAGGCTTTCCTCTTCCTCGACGCTTCTCGCAAAGCGCTGCAGTCCGCTAGGCACTTTGTGCGCACAGCGCTGGACAAGCGAGACAAGCGCAAGTCTATCCAGCGTGACACTAGCCGGCAGACTGTGGATTCCGAAATGAGAGCAGGCATGGTCAACGAACGCGGCGAGTCTGTAGAGCCTCGCACGGGCGAGAAGGCTGGCTCGTACAAGGTCGAGAGGGGGACAGAGTCGGACAGCGAGACTGCCGGACAGCAAGGACAAAGAGAGCGCTCAGGTCGGACAAAGGAAGAGGAAGCCGAGTGGGCAGAATTTGACGAGGCTGCACGGAGGGCCGCTTCTGCGGCTCAGCCCGCCAACGTCGCAAAGAAAGCTCTTGGAGTCGAGGCTGAAGCACAGCGAGCACAGTCCGACGCGGCAGGGCCCGCCAATGGCAGCAGATCGGCTGACATGCAGCGCAGCCAAAGTGATCGAACTGGACACTCTGCCAAGTCCAACACCAGCAATGGATCAGGGCATAGTCACAGTCGCAGCACCGGTCATGGACAAGCCACATCTGCCCAGAGCTCGCATACGACCAGCAACGCCCCGCGTCACAGCGACAAGCATCGACGAAATTTGTCCAACAGCTTGCAGAGCATGTCGCTCACCGCAGCTCGGGACAGGGCCGAAGCGGGCATGCGGTATCAACAATCGGCAGGCGCACCAGCTTTGGGCAATTTCCACGATCCTTTGCCCAGCGCTGCCCATCCGAGGATGAGAAGGACGGCGAGCAACGTGGCGATTGACGATATCGTGCAGAGCTTTGAGAACGATCCTTCTTCCCTTCGCACTAGAGTCTTTACCCCTGATGATCGATAGTCTCTTTCGGCCTCCCTGCGAGTGTAGGATTGCGCATCACTCTACGAACATAATTTACATATACTCATGACCGATTCCCATGAAAGATCACTTTCACTCCGTAGCGCAGATCTGAGAGCGTGCGCATCGGACGCAAGGAGGGCAGAAGGGGCGCACTTGCTCAAGTGCCTTGAGGTCACGAGTGCGATCAAGCCGAGGTTTGCGTGGTGCGTCTGTTGAAGCAGGCTACGGTGTGACGCTATTTCTGCTTGATCATTCAGCAGCGTTCGATACCGTATGCGAGCAGCGTTGATACCTGAACGTCCGTCGTGATGGGAATGACGACGCTAATTAGAGAGAGAGGAGGTCGGTTGAGTTCCTCAAGAGACGTCTCAATGCTACGATCAAGGCCTCGATGTGCTCACATCCTGTACAATTCAACCATAGGAAGAGGATTTATGGTTGCGGGCATCGTAAAGTTCAACGATGGTACCTTGGAGTCGCCGAAGAAGTTTGGAGTGCGTGACCAAGCTTGCATTTGAGAGTGTAGCTTGCGCAAGACGCTCTGCTCTTGAGCCTTGTTCCTCACTTTCTCCCGTAATGCAACAACATCTCCTCCTTTGGCCAGAGTGCAATACGAGACTGGATCTGCTAGGTATTTGGCTTGCCCTGCTGCTCGTCCTAGATGGACCCGGGCGCTTAAGAATTGCAGAACTTGCGCGCTTGCTAGAGCCGTCAAGGTGCTGACGTTGGGCACTTGCGTCTGACTGTCTTCAACATTGGCAGATGCACTGTTTGGTGCTCTGCGTAGTAGGTGAGGTAGGACGTCCTGATAGTATGTATCGATCAAATCCTTTGGGCTGCTGTGGTGCTCCCTATCACCGTACCTCTCTGCTGCTGCCCGATCGCGGGTGTAGTAAATGTATGGAGGATCAGGGGCTACTGACGCGAAGAGCCTTTCTGGTAGATCCGAATCGATGCTTGAATTGTAAGACGCAGCGAAGATAGCCTTGAGCAACGGCTTTTCCGATGCGATGGTCCTGCCATCCAGCGGAAGCGCAGCACGAGCAAGCACAGAATGCACGATGCATTGTTGCAGCGCGTCCAGAGCTGACCGCACAGCAGCCAGGCTTACGTTGTCTTGCGACAAACGACCATGTGGGATCGGCACCGACTGACCCGTTAGCGGGAGGGGAGGCAATTGCTCATCAAGCAACGCAGCCATGCACGGGCACGGGCACAGGCACAGCAGCGCTGCAAGCGACCAGATGCCCATGCCCAAACAGCGCATCGTGTTCGCAAGTCAGAAATGATTGGTGAGGTGTCGCTAGGTGGGTGGTGATTGCAATCACAATGTGAATCGTGAATGAGCTGATCGTGGCGTACAATGAGGGACGAGAAGCCCTTCGAGCGCTCAGTTGACCACGGCCGTTCTTTGCTTCTCCAATGAAGGAAACATTCATTGCAGCAACCTCGAGCCGGCACGACCTTGTGTACCCCGGGCAGACAGCAGTGCCCGCGCAACGTCACTTGGGTCGGCGCGCTATATATGGTGCGGTATAGGTCGCGATGGCTCCCGCGAATAACGGCAAGTCTGAAGCGCAGCAGACATTGTGTGATGCAACGAATGCGCTCGTCAAATGCAACAAACAGTTCCAGACATTCACTCCGAATCGTTATGTTTTGCTTGCGTGTAAGCCTGCCCTTTGTGGCCGGCGTACCGAGGGGAGGCCATCCCCCGGAGCACGAGCGGTCGGCGCGATCGATGGATTGGGCTGCAGTCAAGAGTAGCAATGTAGCATGCTCTCACGTGTGATTTCATTGGCATAACTCGCATCTCATAATCACCCGGGACTATAGCCAGCTGTGAATCGTGATGAGCGTCGGCGGGTGCCAGCAAGTCAGCCGCGCTCTTGCGCTCCATTTCGCCCGCGCTGACGTGATATAGACCGCGGCTTGCTTCAAATGGGAGCGATGCAGTAGCACAAGCCTTCACAGAGGAAGAGGATGAGAACGGCACCGCTTGCACGCTGATACTCAATCTTCAGCTGACATTCGTACTTGGCAAACAATCCGCCTGTTGCGAGCTGGTGAGCGACGATGACGATGTGAGCATTGAAATTGGCATCTTTTGACGTGTGGAATCTACACCAAGATCAGCAGCGCGATCTTGGACAGAAGGGAGTTTACAATTTGGCTTTGTTGGTAGGATCTTGACCTTCGAATGAGGTGGTGGTGATGATGATAAGAAAATGCAGGTGAGGCAAGAAGACGGAGGTGGGGTCGACAATAAAATCATGTTGAAATGTGGTAGATACGTGAAAGAAGGCTGCGCTTGGGTTCGATCTTTTACCAGCCACGCTGAGAGAGCTTGCCGCCTTTCATGTTGTCGCTGATGGTCAAGCCAACCATAGCCTCGCCGAGGTCGGTGGAGACTTCGGCAAGCTTCTCTGGAGAATCGTAGTGTGCCACAGCTTGGACAATGGCCTTGGCTCTAGCTGCCTGATTCTGTCCCTTGAAGATGCCCGAACCGACGAATACACCGTCGCTGCCGAGCTGCATCATGAGCGCTGCATCTGCGGGAGTAGCAACACCTCCAGCGGCAAAGTTGACGACTGGCAAGCGCTTCAGTCGGGCGGTCTCCTTGAGCAGGTGGTATGGAGCGGAGATCTCCTTGGCGTATGCGTACAGCTCCTCATCGCTCATACCAGCAGCTCGTCGGATCTCTGCTTGGACTGTGCGCTGGTGGTGCACCGCCTCTACAACATTTCCAGTGCCTGCCTCGCCCTTGGTACGGATCATGGCCGCGCCCTCAGAGATGCGCCTCAAGGCCTCGCCGAGGTTTCGGCATCCGCATACAAAAGGAATCTTGAACTGGTGCTTGGCGATGTGGTGGTAGTCATCTGCGGGCGTCAACACTTCCGACTCGTCAATGTAGTCGACGTTGATGGACTGTGTTGAGCAGAAGCGAGGAGGTCCGAGATGCGTCAGGTCAGATGCACGCCTCGCAGAGCAGCTGCGAGGCAACAATCGCGCACAAACTCCTTGCCTAGAGCTACATGGCGACGACAACACCACTCTCTACGCCGCTCCATGTCGCGGAGGGCAACGTCTGTACTCACCTGCAAAATCTGAGCCTCTACGAAGTGGCCAATGCGGCACTTAGCCATGACGGGGATGGTGACAGCCTCGATGATCTCCTTGATCATCTTGGGGTCTGACATACGGGCGACGCCGCCTTCCACGCGGATGTCAGCTGGTACTCTTTCCAGAGCCATAACGGCGCAAGCGCCTGCCTCTTCGGCAATGCGCGCCTGCTCAGCGTTGACGACGTCCTGCGAAGTGCCGAGCAGGGTGCAAGGCAGCGTGAGCTTCGGGAGGGACGAGAATTTCGTAGAGCCTCTCCTCCTACAGCGAGCAGCCAAGCCTGCTGACTGAACGCACCATGATGACGCCTCCCTTGAGCATCTGAGCAAGACCAGACTTGACGCCAAAAGTTCCGCTAGGTCCGTGTGCTGAAGCAGCAGCAGCAGCAGCAGGTGCGGCAGACCTGGAAGGCGCTGCAGCCGATCCATTGGTGCCGTTCACGCCGTTGACGGCTGGCAAGATCGTTGGGTGCTCCGAAGACATGATTGACAAAAGTGTTAGCCGAGTCGATTGTTACAGGTATAGCTGGGTGGGTCTGATGGATGTGAAGGAGAAAGCGAACATGTAGGTGAAGTTAGAGCTCGAGTCAGACGGGCGCGGCAGTTTGAGCTCGGGATGATGCCATGCACGAGTGACCGACTTGCTCGTAACTCGTGACTCGCTCGTGATGCAGCGCAGCACCTTCTCGCGCGTCTGCCGTCAACCCCGTGCGGTGCTGCAAGATTAGCTACGTCTGTTTGTGTGTACCGTAGCTCGACTGAGCTCAGCCTAGGCTCTGCCATCACCGTCATGCGTCCGATGAGTCAGATCTCGCAGCTCTTGTGACTCGCAAACTCGTGACTCCGCCCAAAGGCCGTCGCCTTCAAGGCCGTCTTTGCTAACATGCATGCTATAGCTATGGCATGTGTACAGCTAGCTGATGCAGGCCAGGCGGCAAAGACCATCTCGGCGCTGCATATATGCTGCAGCACCATGAGCAGCAGCAGCCTACATCGAGCAAGGCGGCAGCGGTGACACAAAATCTCTCAATTTTGGCTGATGCTTCACGTGCTGAGTTTGATTGAAGGGGAGGGACCTCGCCAACGCACCAGTCGCGAGTCATCGCTCTTCTGCAGCGTTCTTAAATTTAGCTTCGGGCCTACACGCAGCACCACGTGCGCCACTTGTTGACATCCCCAGCAGCAGCATCTTTCACGCTTACGTGCGGTGTATGCCTGATTCTGGAGCGAAGTTACCATCAAAACTTTCATTTCATGATTTGCGCTTCACAGTGATGGCGATGCCGACCACATGGCATCTGCGAAGATACGAGAGCCGACAGCTGAGACCTGCTGTACAACGACACTCGATGCAATTCATTCCGGCTGCAAGTCCTCCGCAACCAGAGATGAGACATGGATCATGCAGCCGTGTGCCTCAAGCTAGCTCAGGCTCGTGATTGAATTTCTGGCCAATGAAGCTCGGTTTGAGTGGGAACACATTCAGGTGTATGTGTGGATAAGTCATCACTGACGTTGCTCGAATCTGCTGGGCATCGAATAGCTGCGGAAAAGGTGAAGCAAACATTTGCAAGGATGGGGTGACTGCCAGGGTCTATGGGCTGCTATATGGAGGAGAGATACACGCTGTCCCACCAAATTTTAAAGGGCAAAAGAAGCCGCCAAAACAATCTTTGAACGGACAGAGCCGGACACGACTGCGTCGTTCAGGTCGTGCATACTACCAAGATGTCTCCGACATATAGTCAGGAAATTGGTCAACGGCCTGATGAAAGCTGAACCCTACTCCTTGGCAGTACACACAGGCGGAGCGCTTCGAGCAGGTGTGAGCAGCAGCAGAATTTGCCAACGCGCTTGGTTAGGCGTTTCGACCGAAGACCCAGTGTATCTGGGTGGCGCGAAGTAGCTTCACGGTCTGATAAGAGGTCAGTCCTGGTTGGTGCAACCCCAATCCAGATAGCGGCTCGCTTTGATTGGGGGCGCCCTTTGTATGGTGCTAGAAGGTCGCAACGAAAAGAACTATGGAGCGGACGACTCCTGCTTGACCGTTGCCTCAGGTGTCGTTTCAGCCGTCTCATTGTCAATGCACTGCGCGACCAGAGCAGCAGCACCTGCCAGAAAGAATGATATTGTCAACTGTGGACGCGCTAGTCTTCGCGGCAGCGCCCAGTGCAGCTCACGCAGTCCCATGTTGAAGTATGTCTTCGACCGTGAGTCGAACATTGCCATGTGTGCGCCCACCTCATCGATATCGCCTGGACATTCGATGGGCTCGAAGCTCTCTCCGACCGGCGAGCTGCCGGGTGGGAGAACGATGAAGGTGCGCTTGTCCGACGAGGCTGGCTGAGGAGGCAGACGATTGTAGAGCGCATGGAAGAAGATTTGTGGCTGATCGACGAGACGCTCGAGCCTGAATATCTGAGTGGTCAGCCATCAAATTTTCCATGCTGCGAGGAGGACAGACACTCTCACCTTGACTTTAGGCCCTGATCATCCCAGAGATTGCTGACGAACAAGAAGTGATCGTTCAGCCATTCAAAGCCTCCGCCGAAGTAAGCACCCCCTGCGGCCCCGGCTAGCACGGTCATAGCAGCACCGCCAATCATTAGCGCACTGCTCCAAGAGCTGCTCTTCTTCTCCTCCTGCTTCGAGCCTGTCGACTGCGAAGAAGCAGACGAGGGCGATGCACCATTTGCAATCCTATGAGCATTGGCAGGGGCAGGATTGGCTGCTGCCTTGGAAGCTCCCCAAAGCCCAAGACCGGCTCCCAAGGGCGCTAGTTGGGTGCCAATCGAGTGTGCTTGCTTCAGATACCCTCCATATTTTGTTGCACTGTTCTTGAATGTTCCCGGATGAACACCGTAGTATGGCGTGTCGAAGGCAATGAGACCAACGATTCGGGGCCAGAGCCGGTCGTGTCGATGAGGGCCTGGGGGAGCGGACGAAGCAGCGCTAAGAGCCGCATCCACGGCCACTAACCCCCCCATACTGTGGCCGCAAAGGACGATGCGGACACTGCCCGCACCAAGTCCTCTGCCCGATACGTTGGCTGGCACCTCCTGGCCCGTCTTCTCGTCCGTTAGAGGCTTGCATTCCAACTCGACAGTGCGAAGAGTGAGCCACTCAAGAAGAGCTTCCGAGGCCGCAGCTAAGGAGCCTCGAGTCTCGTAGGTCGGATACACCTCGGAGCAGACGGCCAAGTTGGAATGCGTCTCCTGTACCATGTGCGCCACTCGTGCCGGAAAGTCACAGAAGGTCGTAGTTGATGATCCTTTGAAACTGCGATAGGCCGAGCGAGCGAGGAGATGCAGTGAGAAACGTGACCTTTAAGTCCGCAGAGCTCCCGACTTACCCGTGTATCCACAAGAGCAACAATATACCTTGTCTATCGATTTTGTCCCAACTTTCGTCATCGCTACCATCATGCGCAGCTCCTAGGTCGGCCCCATCCCAGTGAGCGTCAGGAGGAGGATTGCCTGCGTCAGTCATTGCAGATCTCGTTGGATGAGAGACCACCCGTTGGGTGCTTCCTCAAACGTCGATGTTCAGTGGCCTGAGTAGGTGTAATCAGCTTGCTTGTGAAGTCAGAAGAAGAGGTATTTGAAGTACTTGCCAAGCGTGCGTCTGCCAAAGAACAACACGTTGCTATGGTCGATGCTTTGCCTGTCAACGTGGAGCTCCGATGCAGCATTGCCGCTCACGAGCGCAGCTGCTCTCTCTCGCGTCGATGCTGTACGCACGCGCACAACACAGCCACGTTCAATCTGGTACGTGAATTAAGAATGTGAATAATAATATCAAATCGAGCGGGGATATCATGCAGGTGGGGCAGCAAGGTTGAACCACGAGTGCACGCCACGTGGCTGATCGGACTGAGCCGCGCGGGAGCCGGCTGACAAAAACCCAGCGCACGCTGATTCGTGCGCCGGTCGGACGCGCCTGGCTGGCTGGCTGCATCACGCCCAGTCAAGAGTGATCCTTCTCGCGCCTGCTTGGTACTATCCTGGGCTGCAATGATACTGCTGGTTGGATACACGAACCTGAAAGTGGATAGACGCTGACTGGGACAATCATCACATCACCCCTGTCGTCACGCTGGCAGCTCCGTTCACGATTCGTCACACGTAGTGCCCATTCCGTCTTGGGAGCTGTTTGTCAAAATGTCGACGTTGTCTTTGCGTAGCCGCACCTTCTCCAACCTGCTGTGAGTGTTGCCCTACGTTTGGATTGCAGGGCTCCGGCCGCGACTTGCCGGCTCGCGATGAACCTGCACAGAACTGACATGCCTTGCTCCGACACGTTTTGTGCACGTCATTCTCCAGGCCTACTGTGCGTGTGTCCGCATCAGGAGCACCACAATCAGCTGTCAACTTGTCGGCGCGAGCACCAGAGGACCCCCACGCTCACCATGACGGACCTGCTCCTCGTCACGATGGCACCGCTGTGCCAACATGGGCGCTTGGCAAGCCTTCCGCTTCCGCTGCTTTTGCGCGCACCAACGTGAACGGTGAGTGTCTCGAGAGTATGTATAGATAGAGAAAGGGTTGATTAGTGGATTTGGGGTCGGGGTCGGGGTCGGGGAGGGAAGCGCTCTTGCAACACAGAAGGGGTAGTTAGCGTGCGAAAGGTGCTGACGCATGTGCTTTGTCGTCTCAGCGCTTCCATCCACTGGCTTCGCCTCTAGGTCTTCTCTGCGCGGAATTCACACCTCCAGCCGTCAATTGCAGACTGTTCCGGACTTCGGCGCGTACCGAACCTCGAACCCCACGAGCAATAAGGCATTCAGCTACTTCATGGTAGGCACCTTTGGGTTGGTCGCTGCGTCGGGTGCACGAGCGACAGTGCAGGACTTTTTGGCTTCGATGAGCGCATCAGCGGACGTTCTTGCCTTGGCGAAGGTGGAAGTTGAGCTGGAATCCATTCCGGAGGGAAAGAACGCGATCATCAAGTGGCGTGGAAAGCCAGTTTTTGTTCGACACCGTACTGCAGACGAAATCGAGGAGGCCAACAAAGTCGACGTCAGCAAGCTGCGTGACCCTCAAAAGGACTCGGACCGCGCTCAGCGTCCCGAATGGCTTGTCATGCTCGGTGTATGCACCCATTTGGGTTGCGTGCCCATCGGCGAGGCTGGCGACTATGGCGGCTGGTGAGTCGCTTGATGGATGCGTCGCTTTTGTTTGCCAAGGGGCTTACGCTCTGCCTGCTGTTTTGGTACATAGGTACTGCCCATGCCACGGTTCTCACTACGACATCAGTGGCCGCGCACGAAAAGGCCCAGCACCTTTGAACTTGGAGGTTCCAGAGTAGTGAGTACCTCGACGCGCAGTCATCACTACGGCTACTGACTTTGCCACCTCGATTTTGCAGCTCTTTCAACGACGGCGAGGGCAAGCTTATCATCGGCTGAGCAGCGTCGGATCTCGCTCATGTAACCGTCTCGTTCATTAGAAATGCATCTCTGTTGTTGCCATGCCCCTCCGCGAATTCGGCATGCGAGCATATTCCCTCTCGCTGATCTTCTCATTCAAATGGGAGTCTCTGCCATGCATTTCTGCGCAGAGTCACAAGCAAAGGATACAAGAATGGCAGCGCTGCCAGTTGGGTACGTCGATAGGAGCGATGGCTTCACACACATAGAAGGTGCGGTCTGCGAGTGCCTTCCTGCTCAGTATAGCAGAACGGCAGAGAAGGCGAACAACCTGGTGACGGCATGCGAGAGGCTGTGTCAGCGACCGGGCTCATTGGAGAGGCGACGGTGATGCGCATTTGCGTCAGGACTTCGTATGCGGGACACTTACCAAGCTGTGCCAGAGAAACCCATTCGAATGTTGTTGAGCAGGATCCACCTGTTAATGCGCTCGTCCGTCTGCTTGATTTCGCTCGGGGAGAGCGTCTCGATAGCACCCTTGACTGGTCCCACGGTGTCTGCCGTGTCGCAAATTGCGTTGTTGGTCGGGTACACTGCGACAACCGACGAAATGATGCCGGCGTTAGAAAGTGGGCAGAGGTGGGTGTAGCTGAACTGAGAAGCGATCCCGAGGAATTATGCGTCTGCCCGCTTGAACGTCCGCGATGACTTACTGGCAAAGTAGGTGAAGAATGGCACAGCTCCTGAAAGAAGTGCGGCTGGCCAGACGAGGACTCTCAAAGGACGAGCGAGGAAGCCTGTGGCCAGGAACGACAAAGAAGAAAGGACTGCGGACCCAGCAAAGTGAGGAGTCGCCGCTTTGTAGAACTTCTTGAAGCTGATGATGCGTGGATCGTGGATTGCACGTGTTAGCTACAGAGTTTGAAAGCATGTGGCCCGGGATCGCGCAAGATGGCTCCTGTTTGTGCATGCTGAACGCAGCACCTCGCACGATACTTATCAAGAAGATGGGTCCATCGAATACACAACGGGAGCGACATCTCTTCCACCGCCTTGAGCGATCCCATCGGACCGCTGTGTTGGACGACTTTGTACTCACATTACGGCGCTTTGTCCTGCGCGCAAGCCCAGCTCCTCCCTCCAGGAAGTGATAGCAGGCAAGGGGCCCAGGCCAGCGAGGGCCGTGTTACCAAGGAAAAGATACGAGTTGGCAGCGCTGGGTGCATTTGCCAATAGACGCGAAGGGGCGCATACATCAGGTCAGTGATTGGCATCACCACCCACACGAAGCCTCAATTTCTGAGAACTTACAAACCGAGGCCGAGCACCAATGCTGAGGGGGTGCTGGCCTTGAAGCGCAGGGCATGCAACGCCAGACGATCGATAGAGATGGCTTGAGAAGACATGCTGGCGCTACGCTATGGGTGCAACGAGGTGACTTGTACGATTCAGGATGAAGTGGTCGATGAGATGGGCAAACGCATGAAAGCGTGGTCAGTCACAGATTCATATTCGTTATTCAATCATTGCAGCCGCACAGGTTGTTTGTTAAGCATTACCGAACCTGGCACGCATGCCATGCAATGGAGGTGAGATGCGCACATATATGCGCCGGCGCATGAAAGCCCTGCTGCTGCGCTGCTTTGCCCGATCGTGACGAGATCGAAACGGCAGCCATGGCACGCGTAAGTTTGATAAGCAGCAGCAATTCAGGTATTCTCGATCATCATACACAGAGCGAGCGGCCTGCAGCTACATACACTACTCATCAGACTGTTTTTAGCTATACACGCACGATTCAGTAGCATGCACACGGGACAGGATGCAGCAATTTTGAATCTGATCTGACTCGTGAATCTGAATCACGAGTCAACGTGCGCGAAACTAGGCGGCTCACATTCGCAGCGATTTCTGTCATGGGCATTCAGCAGGGGACGCCATGACGCTCGGCGTCGGTCCCCTTTCATCTCGTACAGTCACCTCTCTGTCACAAGGGCGGGTGGTGATAGCACGCTGGATCCTCGAGAACATCATTCATTCTTGTCGCCTGCTGCGTCGGCCATCTTTGACGATCGGCTTCCATGAGGAGATGTCCTGTCTCTCTGCACATCTGACGGAGGGCGGTGCTGTTTCTCCTGATGCACGCAGACCCAGGCTTGTAGGACAAGTTATCATTTCCCTGATTCAGAATCACACGTGTATCCAATTGCAGGTCTTGCGCCATTCGCTGATTGTTCCACTGAGAACCCTCATCATGTAGCTAGCGCTGAGCAACGTCACCGCAGCCTAGGTGCCCCTCTTCTTTGCGCAACGGCGAGGGCAACCCATCCAGCGATAAATGCCAACCCTCCTATGGGTGTGGCAGGCCCAAGGATTTTACGGGATGGATGACCTTCCTTGGTGAGACAGAGCCCGTAAATCTGAGCCGGTGAGCAAAAAGTAAGTACACGCAGCATCGCAAAAGGACACTCGGCCAACTATATGCACTCACAGAGCCCGAGAACAGTGTGATACCGGTCGCGAATGACCAAGCACTGGTGGTGAGCGCCGCCGACGGAGCGATCGGTAGCGTGGTAGTGATGAGCAAAGCGGCAGAGTGCACGAGGTGATAGATCGTGGCTGTCTGCCAAGATGCTTGCTCTGCGCGGCAGTCAGAATTGTGAGATGGCTGAGCAAGGTTGGTGCGGAAAGATCTTCTTCATTGACTGCTGTCGAGCACTCACGATGTGCATTGAGATGAGGACGCAGAGCGTGCGCGCCAAAAGCACCTGTGCAGGATTGCGTGTCTTCGTGAGCTCGCTGCGAAGAGGGTTCAGTCAAAAACACTCACCGAATGCGACAGCTGTTGCTCCTGAGACGCAAGCCAGCGATGGGAAATAGGTTGGGACCGGCATGCTGCTTGATGGGAACGAGATTGCAGTCTGAATCGTGCCTGAGTGAGATCGTCGTATGTCGGGTCAACAAGTGGAACGGCGAGATGTGGGTATGGCAGAGCTAGCGACAACGGTCCATTTGGCAGGAGCGCGGACGAGTTGTGTGGCAGAAGTCACATCCACGAATGTTGTGATAGGTGTTGAGCTAGCATGTACCTCGATCCCTGCTCCATGCTGGCTGCTGGTTTGCGGGCAGCGTCCGAGGTGGAGGATCCAGCGCTTCACGTGAGTGAGGCCCATGCATCAGCCAAAAGTCATCACGATTCGCGGCTATGCTGCATGCAAGCGCCGGACTTGCGCGGGAACACGCTATAGCAGGCTGTGCATGCCTCATCATCTGTAAGCTGTCGGCATGCATTTGATTATACATGGAGGTGGGGACAATCCCACTCAAAATTCAAACCACTAAAAATGTTAGTGAGATGAGGGGTACGCGCCGCAACCCGGCTCGCAAGTCTTGAAGCTGACTTGCTTAATCTTAATCAAGTATTTAAACCTCGAATTTGAATCAGTCGGCGCTTCTCAAATTTTTAATGCCCAGGCGGCGAAGCGCGCGTCCATGCATAAATGACGAACCCACCACCAGCATTTCGAACCAAGAATGCGAATCTTGAATCTGAATCAAGAGTAATCGTGAATCCAGGGAATCTCGAATTGACTTGAATGGAACATCCTCTTTCATCATCCCTTCCCCTGAACACGATCCAAGCCTCGCTCTCCAGAGCTTTTGAAGCCACCGTCCCCGGGCTGATCAGGTCAAATCGCCGACGGGTTGAGTTGCGCGAGGATCACATTCCTTGAGGATACTCACTTGGACTTTCCCCAAACTACAATCGCGCACCTTTGAACGCCGTATGCCCACTACGTCGCATGGCCCGTCTTGTAATATACCGGTAGGCCAACATTTCCGGCTCGAGATCGCTGGATAGGCTTGTCAGCATGTCGCGGCCTCGTTCGCCGGTAAGGGGCACTCCGAATGCTCTTCAACCCCCTTCAGATCCAACAGCAGCAGAGGGCACAAATCTACGATCAAGCGCTCAAAGCGGAGGCGGTCGCACTATTGCATCGTACTACCAAGGTCGTTACGACGGAGATATGTCGTACGGACACAGCACCAGTGCAGATCCGGCTAGAAATGGCTCTTCCAGTCTCGATGTCAGTCCGACAAGCTCGCCTCAGATGCACGCCGGGCTATCACGTCGTCTTAGCAGGGGAGATCCTAATGCCGCTGCTCAAGTGTATGCGGGCAGTGGTGCGCGAATAAGAGATGGCGAAGATGAGCAAGAGCTATACATTGGCACAGTTGCCAGCCAGTACAGCACTAACCGGCGTCAGCATGGATCGTCAGGCAGTGCGGCCAGCTTTTACAATCCCTTGGAATCCTCGTTCGACGAGCCTTTTCGATCTGCGCCTGCAGGCTCCACAGGCGAGATTCTCGCGGGGAACCTCGGTCCATACGCTCAAAGTGCCGGTCCCTCTGGCCATGAACGCGACGGTAGTGCCGCTTCGGCATGGGGCGATGTGGGTCGCATGCAAAGTCGACACCGTGCTTTCGAAGGAGGAGCTTCGGTCGATACACGCGCCTACGACGGTCCCGGACCTCTCCACCTAGACTTCTCAGCGCCTCGCATCCTCAGCGATTCTCCTTCCCAATCGCCAGCAAGCTTGCGTGATCACGCTGCCCTTCCAGATGTGCGACTCGGTGCAGCGCAGGGCTGGAGCCAATTTGGACAGGCACAGGAGGTGCAATCGCCCGGCGAGATGTCATCAGTCGCAGGAAGCCCACCGATGGCGCCAGGAAAGCGAAGTCGAAATCACCTCTACGCCGCAGCTTCGCCTTCTCGCATGGATCAGGTGGAGTACTTTGGCCAAGATGACGTGCCTAGCGAGGGTCCGCGTCTCTCTCATCGTTCACCTGCTGAAATCATCGCTGGTGCAGGAGGGGACTCTCCGCTCGTTCAATCGGCAAGAGCTGGCTTGGACCGAGTGGGCAAGTCCATCAGACGTGTCAGTCGCAGGGTTGTAGGTTTTGAGCAACCTATGGATGCTGATGGGCTGCGGGGGCCGCACGTTCGGCTTGCTGGCGAGGATGGCAGCGATGCTGGTGACAACACGCGTGAGACACCCAAGACCTCGAAGAGCGAGAAAGCTCGACCCCGCGAGCAGGTCTTGCGAGGTCGGAGTCTCGGGCTTCTGGGACCGGAGAACAAGTTCCGGCGAATCATGGCCCGCTTACTATCTAACATGTGAGTGAAGTCTTCTGCGGAGTTGCCGTGTGCTGCCGTGCTGACAATCCTCTCCTTGTCGCCTCAAGATGGTTTGAGCCATTGATTCTTTGCTTGATCATCGTCGTTCTCGTCACCTTTGTGGTGCAATCGTGGCCCAGCGCATATAAGGACCCACGGAAGCCCGGATATTTTGATTACTGGCCGGACTATGTCTTGCTGGCCATCTTTTCCGTCTTTACGTAAGTCTCAGCACACCGGGAATGCTTGCAATTTTATCGCAGCTCATCGATCTCCGCCCGGCCTATAGTCTCGAGGTCGTCGCACGGGTGGTCGTTTCGGGCCTTTTGATCAACCCCCCACCCCTCGTTTACGAAGGCGTGGTGGGCGGCTCGGTTACCAATCATGACCTTCATCACACAGGTCGCATTGATGGTTCGGAAGATGCCAAGGTCGAATCGACAGATAAGCTCGGCTCTTTGGAGGACCCAAACTCTGTAGCAGCAAGGCGGCGAAGAATGTCGAAGTCCAACACGCTCGACACATTTGCTGAGCTAGGTGATTCGCTCAAGAATCGCGCTAACGTCATGCTGTATCGGCACCGCGACGATCACATGGGTGCCAGCACGGCGTCAAGGAAGTCCTATCTGGAGCACGGACCTACTGCGAATGTATCCAAACTTCAGGCCCAGTCTCCCAATACATCGCCAAGGCTAGTGACTTCGCAGAAACTCGCACCTGATGGTAGAATGGGCTTCAGCGAGTGGGGCGATACTATCGCGCCGAGCTCTCGACCGGGCGCCTCGCAGAAGCAGGAGAGCAGCACGATACCACCACAAGCCTCTGATGCTGGAGCCAAGTTTCTTGCGTCACGTCCGCTTCCCTTCGCTCAAGCTATCCTCGCGCAGCGAGCGCAAGCTGCGAACTACGCTTACTTGCGACACAGCTGGAATCGCGTTGACCTGTTGTCTGTCATTTGCTTCTGGGTTGCTTTCTTACTCGGCATCTTTCACGCCGAGCAGACCTCAGACCGACACCTCTACATTTTCCGAGCAATTGCCGTCCTCCGCGCGGCTCGTCTGCTCACAGTCACGAATGGCACGACGACCATTCTGGCGAGTCTAAAAATGGCAGCCCCATTGCTAGTCAACGTCGCATTCTTCACTGGGTTTGCGATGTTGCTCTTCAGCATCATCGGCGTACAAGCTTTCCGAGGCAGCCTGCGAAGGAGCTGCATCTGGGTCGGTGACTACGACAGTGAACCCGGCACCAACTATACCCTTAGCCAGTTCTGCGGCGGGCACGTTGACGTCGCTAGTGGTCAAGTGGTCGGTCCGCTCACCGAAGCTGGCTCCTCACTCGGAAGTCCGAAGGGCTACATCTGCCCGCGCGGATTGGTTTGCGTAAGGAGTGAGGAAAACCCCGAGGGCGGAACAAGAAGCTTTGACCACATCTTTGCTTCTTTGCTACAAGTCGTCATCATCATTGGTGGTAAGTTGTCGCTTGGCGATGATATCGACTGCCTTCATCCAGGCCCTTCACTGATAGCATCATCGTTGCGCGTCGGTCAGCCAACAATTGGTCGGACACCATGTACGACATTGTGGACACTGAGCCTTTCGTGTCTTGTCTTTACTTCATTGTCGCCGTCATCCTTCTCAATTTCTGGCTGGCGAACTTGTTCGTTGCCGTGATCACGAACACTTTTGCAACGATTACGGCCGAAACGAAGCATTCCGCTTTCGCTGACGAGAAGTAAGTACACGCTGGTTGATCTTTGCTTGCAGCTCTTCCCTCACCGCCCAACTTTCGCCTGCCCTCAGAATCCAAGTCGCTGCTGTCCCAAAAGAGGAGGAGAACAATGCGATGGCGCAGTATCGCAAGCGAGTCGCAAACGTGTACAAGCAAATTTGGGGATGGACAAAGTACTTTTGGCTTCTTGCCATCATTACCGACCTTGGCTTGCAAGCAAGCCAGGCATCATATAACACCGAGGAGGAAGAGCGCCGCGGCTACTTAGCCGAGCTTGCCCTGACCGTCCTCTTCGATGTCGAGATCCTTTTGAGGTTCATCTCCTTCGTGCTTGACCGCGACTCGCGCGGTTTCTTCGCCTCTCGACGCAATCTGGTCGACTTGTTCTTGGCTCTCATCACCTCGATCATCCAAATCCCCGTCATTCATTCGAGCGCCGCCTATCCTTGGCTGACCTTCTTCCAATTGGCTAGGTTCTATCGTGTTATCGCAGCAGTCCCGCGCATGCAAGCTCTCTTGATCCGAGTTTTTGGTTCAATGAGCGGTCTCATCAACACAACCCTCTTCTTGATCTTGATGATTGGACTCTCCGCCCTGCTAGCTGCCCAGCTGCTACGTGGAGAGCTCCCACAAGAGGATGACGACGGAGGAGTCTCAACCTTCTTAAATTATGGTCGGTATTGGTACAGCTTCGCAGGTCAGTGGCAAATCATGACTGCAGAAGACTGGCCAGATCGGCTTTACAGCAGTCTCGAAGCTGGCTCTCAGTACAAGCAAGCCGTCATCGTCGGCATCTTTCTCGGGGGCTGGATGATGTTTGCCAACTTCATTGTTCTGAGTCTGTTCGTTGCCGTCATCAACGAGAACTTCAGCGTTGCAGAGGGCCAAAAGCGCGCACAGCAGCTGGAAATGTACTTGCAGAAGCTAGGAGAGCCTAGACAAGCCCTACCAGCACGACTATTGGACCAATTCAGTCCCTATCGCTGGTTACGCGAACGCAACCAAGCAAAGATGTCGCAAGGCACTGGGATGTCGCAAGGAGCCAAGGCTGTGGACGAAGAGAAGCGGCGGCGAATGACTCTGCATCAGGTCGTCAACCCTTCAAGGATCAAGCGTATCATGGACACCGTTAAGAAGGTTTTGCGTCTAGACGCGCCCGAGGAGCATGTCCCACTGGACACTATCCGTGCTCGAGATGCCAGACGGTCAGTTTCCGGAGAGTCTATGCTACAGGGTGCTTTGCGAGCGCAGCAGGATCCGGACGGGCGTAGGTCACGGCGCATGCCATCGCGCGGTGATTCGATCTTTGACACACTCACAGAAGATGAGCAGGCGCGACTTTTTGCTCGAGAGCGTCAGTTGTCTCGCATGCGCACCGACTTTGGTCTTGGTCTCGCCGAGCCACCCTCTCAGTCTGCGATCAACGCCGAGCACGCCACCCGCTGGCAACACGACCCGCGCATCGCCCAGGCCCGCCTCATGAACACACATCCTTCTTATGAAAAGTCGCTCTGGCTTTTCTCCAGCAGGAACCCCTTCCGACGATTCTGTCAGAGCATTGTTCCTCCGAGTTACGGAGAGCGTCTTTTCGGACGACCGGTCTCACGCAGTCGTCACACAGTGTACCAGATAGTTATGTTCCTCACCATCGCTGCTTCAATTGTTGTAGCTGGCGTCGCGACACCAACATACCGCCGCGACTGGTACAGAGAGCATGGCCTGAAGCGAGGCTCTTGGTTCAGTATCACGGAAGTTTCGCTCAGCGTCGTCTTCCTCCTGGAATTCTTCCTAAAGGTCGTCGCGGACGGTTTGGCCTTCACGCCGAACGCTTATCTTCTTTCCGCCTGGAACTCTCTCGACCTTTTCGTGCTCGCTACTCTAGTCGTCAACGTGATTACAGAGCTGGCAGTCATTGGAGGTGTCAGCCGCTTCACGCGATCTCTGAAAGCTTTCAGAGCATTGCGTCTCATCAATCTGGCCAGCGTACTCCGCAACACATTCCACGCGCTGGTTGCAGGTGGCGGTCGCTTCATCGATGCATCCGTGCTCGCAATCCTCTACATCGTCCCATACGCTGTTTGGGGACAGAATCTGTTCAGCGGCCTGCTGTATGCTTGCAACGACACGGGCGACGCCATCGCGGTCAAAGCCGATTGCATCGGAGAATACTCGGCTACTGCATCCCAATGGAGCTTTTTGGCGCCTCGTGTATGGGACAACCCAACAGACGGCAGCGTGTACTCCTTCGACGACTTCCGCTCTGCCCTTCTCATCCTCTTCGAAATTGTCTCGTTGGAGGGGTGGGTGGCAGTCATGACACGTGCCATGAGCATCGTGGGCCGAGACCAGCAGCCCCAACCCGATGCCAGGCAGATCAACGCACTTTTCTTTCTGGTCTACAACCTCGTCGGCGCCGTCATCGTCTTGACGATTTTCGTGTCCGTCATCATCGAGCAGTTTCAGACATTCTCAGGCGCGGCATTCTTGACGAATGAACAACGCCAATGGGTCGACCTGAAGCGTCTCATCAAACGACAGCGACCCTCTAAGCGGCCCAAGGTGCAGCCGAAGGATGCAGTCCGCGCCTGGTGCTTTGCACGTGCAACACAAAAGCACGGCTGGTGGTCGCGCATGATGACATTCCTCTACTTTTGCAACATCATCGTTTTGGCTACACAGCAATTTTCTGATCCAGTCGAGGTAGAAAGGGCACGCGACTGGGTCTATGTAGGATTCGCAGTCATCTACGCGATCGACATCATCGTTCGCTTGATGGGTCTAGGCTGGCGGGCGTACAAGAACAACTTCTGGAACATCTACGATCTAGTCGTCGTTGCTGGTACCTTTGCTACCACACTGCCTCTCCTCTCGCCTACAGAACTTGCCAGCACGGTCGACGTGCAGCTCCAAAAGATCTTTCTCACAGCCGTCGCATTCAAGCTTGTGCAGAAGAACAATGCTCTAAATCAGCTTTTCAAGACTGCTGTAGCCTCGCTGCCAGCCATCGGTTCGCTGTTCGCCCTGTGGTTGGTGTTCTTCATCACCTTTGCAATCATGTTCGTGGAAGTCTTTGGACTTACGCGCTGGGGCGAGAATGAGACCTACTCGAAGAACTTCTCGACCTTCTTCGGCAGTGTCATTTTCTTGAGCGCGCTCTCGACCGGAGAAGGTTGGAACCAGTACATGCACGACTACACGGTGCAACCCCCGGAATGCACTCCAGCAGCAAGCTACCTCGACACTGATTGCGGAACGTCGTCAGGTGCGCTCACCCTTTTCATCGCGTGGAACGTGATCTCTATGTACCTGTTTTTGAACATGTTTACAGGTACTGTGGTCGAGAACTTTTCTTACGTCTTTCAGCTCGGAGGCAAACCGACGCTATCTCGCGAACAAATGCGCGCGTTCAAGAAGACCTGGGCAGCTTTCGACCCCGAACGGAAAGGCTACCTTCAGCCAGCTCGCATCGTCCCTTTTTTGAATGCCCTCAACGGGATCTTCGAAGTCCGAGTCTACCCGCAAGAAGGGCGTCTCTCGACGCTCCGAGCTGCCGCCACGCCCGGGGCGAGCGAGGCTATGCCGGCCAGTCCGTCCAGAGGCGGTGTGACTGGTGCCGCTTCCGAGGCACTCGCACGTTTGCGGGGCACCTCACCGCTCAGCGCTACCCCTCGCTCGGAAGATGAGGGAGCAGGGAGACCGGCTTTCGCCTGGCCGCCTACTTCACAGCCCGCCCGAATCGTCGCTGGTATCGACGTCGACAAGCTTGGCACAGCTATAGCCAAGTTGGACTCGGCGCAGATCAAGGAGCGTCGCCGTCGCTTCGAACGAATTTACCAGGAAATGATGATCGCCATACAAGAGAAACATCGGGAGGAAAAGGGCCTCCCCTTCACGGATGCGCTCATCATCCTAGCGCACCACCTTATCATCGACGATGAGCAAGCGCTGAGCCTAGAGGAACTGCTCGAGCGCCGCATGCTATGGGTGAAGGTCGACATGCGCATTGAAGCTAACATCGTACGCGGAATGCTACGACAAATGTACCTGCGCCAGCGCTTCCTTGCAGTGCGAGAAGAGCGAAGGCGTGCTAGTGTATCAGATGCCCCAATTCCCACCATCAATGTGGACGCCCCAGAAGCTCGAGCCAGCACAGGCTCTCGACAGACAAGACCTCAGCTTCAGCTCAACACTTCGAGTGCCGTCGTAACCCCGCCAGCTGGTCTGGCTGTTGACCAAGATTACATGAGTGCCGGTCTGAAGCCCGGAGAGGAGCGACTTTCGCCCAGTCGTCGTAATCCCGATGGCGCCGTGTCGCCCGCGATCACTATCAGCCCTGCTGATGTCAGCCTGGAAGAACTGGTGCGACGGGCATCGCCTCTTATCGAGAGCTTCCAACACACTGCGTGGGGCGGCTTGGCAAGAAGAGTCTCCCGAGACGCCCGCGATCTCGGCTCGCCCCCAATCGCACCGGCTGCTGGAGAGAATCCTTGGCAGCGGTCCCCAGAACCCTTTGCAGATGATCCTACCAGTGCGGCTCAACGAGCCGCCCACATGTACGGTGATGTGCTGCCAAGTCATCAAGAGTCTCGCCCTAGAACATCTCATGACGCCCCCGAGACCTCCAGACACGCAGGAGACCAACAGAATCCGTCTGACAGTGAACGCTTCGATACGCCCGCTCAGGAAGGCGGCTCTGGGACACTCGGACTCCGAGGCTATCGCGACAATTTCTTGTGATACTGGGCATTAGCCCAGTCTCCAAAACAATTCCCCCTCAACACATCCCTCAAAGAGACTCATCAACGGACACTCCCATCACTCAGATCCCGACCCGCTTAGAATTTCATCATCCTCGCTATAGCCTCTTGCACACGAGTTGCTCCTTCCACCTACCTAGACATTCCGTTGCATCTCTTCGCACACCCACTTACAATCCCACAAACCATACACATTTTGCGGAAATTCCAACCCTCGCTAGCCTTGTTCCCGAAGCTGTAACTTATCTCAAAAGGTCGACTTTCCTCACTTTGAATGAATGCGTCGTCAAAGGCACAACCGAAAGAGCTGCAAGGCGGGGCGTATCAGCGCGCTTCACATCACGCAGGTGCGACCTTGACTAACAAGGTACTGGTATCTAAGCTTTGCTTGCATGTAAAGGGAAAGGCTGCACGTTCACTCAAGGCTGGACACTGAAATGTGCTCCGGCGGATCGGGGCGAGGGAACAAAAGGCGAATAAGAGAGAAGGGATGCGATGATGTCGGACGAATGCGACAAGAGGTAGGCAAGGGCGAAAGGGGCCGCAAAACATCTACGCAGGTGATCCCTCGCGCCGCGCTAGTTGAATGACCTGGAATTGGGAATCGTCCAGCTTCGAACTGTGTCTGGTCTGCGTTCCTGGCCTTCCAAAAAGGATGTGCTGGCAACTTTCTCCCATGCAGACCGCACTTACACATGCCTGCTTGACCTGATGCTGAGCCATTCGATAGCCCAGATGCTCAAGCACCCTGCTGTTTCTTGACATTGGTGCTCAGCCAGCTAAGCCCTTCAAACAAACCCTGAGGACGAAAGACAGCAAGTGTTGTCGCCGTGAGTGTATGCCAAAGACATTGGACTGAGAGAAGCACGACTCACCTCGCCACTTGTTGCGCAACTGGGATGCACGAACCAAGATCGATCCCTCATCCGGTGCAGGCCCAGCTTCTCGGTCACTTCTGCAGGTGACATGGCTGAGAGTCCGCAAGAGAGGTATGCGCGTGAGTCTCTTTTGTCATCAGATTCGCAGTGAGCTGCAATCCAGAGCTGCTGTTCCAAGGTGCGAAAGGAATGCTGCTGCTGCTGCTGCTGCTGCTGCCGCCCCACCCCATCGGTACACAGACTTGACCCACGTTCGACAGGTAGGCCTGCCAGACATTCGCTGCATTCTCTCAAAAGCAACAATCCTTTTGCTCAGACTCACCTCCGGCCAGATCCTGCTTGTTCGCAAACACAAGCAAGAGGCACTCTCTCATTTCCCTATCTCCAATGATCCTGTGCAGCTCCTGTCTAGCCTCATCGATCCTGTCCCTGTCCTGGCTGTCGACCACGAACACCAAACCCTGCGTGCCTGTGTAATAGTGTCGCCATAAGGGTCTGATCTTATCTTGACCTCCAACGTCCTTTGTGGATGCGGCGAAAGGAAGTAGGAGTCAGATCGTGACGAAGCGGTGGCGGAGCGTGTGCACAGTCTCGCGTAGGGCTCACCCATACGTTGAATTTGACGTTCTTGTACTGGACAGTCTCGACGTTAAAGCCAACAGTCGGGATAGTCGTGACGCTTTGATTCAGCTTGAGCTTGTACAGGATGGCTGATGAGGATGTTGGACAAGAATTAAGAGTGAGCAAGGAGGTGGCGGTGCCGATGGATTCGCACAAGCGCACGACGCCTCATGCACTGGGAGAGATATGTTCGCAACCGCCAATCGCCCCTCGCATGAATCAGAAAATGCACCTTGCAACAGAACCCTCTATACTTCCAGCCTCTGCGCCACGTTTCACTGCGGTGGACCTCGCATGTATGCTGTAGTCGATCACTCACTCGTCTTGCCCGCAGCGTCCAGACCGAGCATCAAAATTCTCATCTCCCTGTTCCCAAAGATCTTTCCCATCGCTTTTGAGAGACTTCCACCCATCTTTGCTACTAATGTTGCGGATGAGGGTCGAAGAGGCGGACTACTCGCACGGCGTCGGGGCTATCCTGCAAAAGATGCCGTTGGTCGAGCAGATGCTACTTTGACTATGCACTTAGGCTCGGAGAGGTCGCACTAGCAGGGAAATGACCAGCGTCTGTCTCTGACCAGCGTTTGTCCTCGATGCTCAACCAGCTTCTGTCTTCGATGCTCAAGGACTTGCAGAGCAGTCGCGCGAATCTTCCACTGAGCTACTACTGTCAGGAGCTTCGTAAAGATGCCGTCTAGGCTGTGTGTGCGTTCTGAAGCAAACAGCTGGCACGGGGGTGTTCAGCTAGTGCAGTGGACCAACAAGGGAACGACTAGAGTGGAAAAAAGGTACGTAGGGAGTGCGGAGGTAGGTGTGGAAGAGGAGAAGAAAGACACACGCTCGCACCGATTGACGGGAGCCACAAGGAGGTGTGCACAGCAGAAGCGCAGCGGACAAGAGCGCTGACGCGACTAGTGAGTGATTGATTTCAAGGCAGCGAGGCGCAACTGCAAATGAATGCGCGTGTGCGTCTACGTGATGCTTCTGGTGCATGGCGCGCGTCGCCCCGCAAAGGTGCGGTGCGGCGTGGCTTTACAGTAAGTAGACGGTACGGTGCACGCGTGGGGCCCTTGCTGGTCGCAGCCCGCCTCGCTCTGTACGCTTCCTCTACGCGGCTCATGCATCAACCTGTGCGCGACCAAAAAGGAGCTCTCTGATGCTCACGTGACTTTGGAAATGCGCTACCTGTCCCTCGTGCATCTTGCGCCTGTGTCTGCGACACCATGGCGGGGGCCTTGATGCTGCGTATATGATGGGCTGCATGGCTGCATGGGTTTCGTGCACGTTGGGGGCGCGCTGGCCGCGCGTCTATTGATATGCATGCAGCATGGTGCATGGTGCATGGTGCATGCAGCTAGGCTTTGCTATACGTACTGTACTCACTCGACTGCATGACCATCCACCGCGCTTGGCTCGACCTGTGACGGTCCGGTCCGATGCTTCCAGCACCGCAACCACGCACGAAGCAGACGAAGGTATTTCCCTACCACACAACAAGTCTTCTAGCCAGACACTGGTCTAGCGGTGCCATTGAGCCCTTGCGATCCGGCACGAAGCCAGACGAGACGTTCACACCCCCGCGATTGACGACGAACTTGGCAAGATTGAGCGAGGTGCAGTGGTCGCAAGCACGCATTTTGTTCCCGATCATTCAAGAGGGCCGCCTCCGCCGACACACGGAGGCCAAGCGTGGGACGTGTACCTGTTCTAGACGCGACCCAGGTGCAAGCTTCTTACGATGGACAATGCTCGGGAGGGAAAGATCTCGTCTTTCGAACCATTAGAGTATGCGGCTCACGACTTGTCGAATGTAGCCCTTGGAAGCAAAGAAGCACTACGCGTCAGAGAAAGCCATGTAGTGGATGGGCACGGCAGAGTCATCGGTCTTCGGGGTCTCAACGTCAGCGGTGGAAGCAAATTGTGAGCAATGGCAGGAGGCACGTGTATATTATGGACAGAAAGACGACGATTGACTGACGACACTAGCTGCGTGGACCTCAATCACAAGGCCAAAACGACCCGAGACATTCTCGCACATCTATAACGATGATTTTTGGAAGCATCGAAGCGTAGACTTTGTTGGCAGGCCTTTCTCGGTAGAAGATGTGAGCTCAGCTGCTCTTCGTTGCTTAGTCGTACTGCTCAGTACATTTCACTTCCCATCTCTCCTCAGGCGCCAACCCATTTTGCACGTCTTCAGGAGTGGGGCCACCCGCTGATCCGCTTCCTTGTCACGTGGGAGTCCTTGGCGCATTCAGGGCCTTTCGAGCTGGACCATGGCTACATCGCATACCTGAAGGAGCTGTTCGAGCTCATGCCAAAGTATGGTATCAAGGCTGTTATATGCGCCCACCAGGACGTATGGAGCAGATTTAGCGGCGGGAGCGGCGCTCCGGGCTGGGTGAGACTAGAGACTGCGAATTCACATTCATTCAGAGTCTTGCTCACGCTTAATCGCACCCGGCTGTTCGTAGACTTTTGAAGCGGCTGGACTCGATATTCGAGCCTTCAAGGAAACTGGTGCAGCCTACGTTCACAGCGTGGCTAGCGCAGGGGCGCCTGACAAGAGCAAGGCGACAAATTCCGAATTTCTTAGTTCTTCTGAGAGCAAGGAAGTCAGCGGACCCTTTGTCTGGCCCTCGTACGTGATGAGAGTGATTGCGGGTGACGCTACCACGGCTCGCTCACTCCTGCCTTCACTGCTAACAGTGGCTATCAAAAGCTCGCAGCATCCACGATGGCGACGCTTTTCTGGGCTGGCGACGTCTTCGCCTGGCAACTACAAGTCTCGCCGGAGGCTTTCAGCTCCACACCCTCTTCTCCTTCCGCAAGGCCTCAAGGTCTACTTCCTACACAAGGCGAAGTGTCGATTCAAACCCTCCTCCAGGCTTCCTATCTTCATGCGTTCGGCACCCTTGCAGATACAATCGGGGACTTGGAAGCATGCCTCGGGTTCGAGCCAATGAACGAGCCGCATCGTGGTCTGATAGGGCTGCACTCTTGGGGCAACTGGAAGTATGAGACAGACCTACACATAGGACACTTTCCTAATGCCCTCCAGTCCTTTGCTTTGGGAGCTGGCCATGCGCAAATCGTTCCTTATTATGTCAAGAGTTGGCCGTTTCCCACTCGGGTGAGCCACAAGAGCCTGCTGGATCCCAAAGGCAAAACGGCCTGGCTGAAGGACAGCTCCGGACGGAGCTTCAAGCAGGGTGCAGCCGCAACGCCCTCGCCGGGGGATGCTAGGTGTCTTTGGGCGCGACATGGAGCATGGGCATGGGACAGAGAACGCAGTAAAGCTATCGTGCTTCGAGAGGATTTCTTCACCAAGGATCCACGCCCGCAAACGGACCACGGAAAGGTGGAGTGGTACCGCGATTGTTGGGCTCCCTTCGTGACTACATACGCGCAGAGGTGAGCAGCTTCCCGACTTCTTTCGGTCTGCTTTCCGATCGTCGCTCACCCATCAAGCCCACTCTCTGGATCTAGGATACGGCAAAAGCACGCCAACCTACTGCTTCTGTCCGAGCCGATACCGAATGAATACCATCCGCTTTGGCCGAGCGCCACCTTGAGTCATTCAGACCGCGAGAACCTCGGCTCGCTGGCATTGAAGCAGGACTATGCCACGAAGACGATCATCAACGTGCCAAGACCTGAAGGATTCGTCTTTGCGCCGCATTTCTACGACCTCAATGTGCTGTTCTCGAAGGTGCATTCTTTCTACTCGGTCAATGTGCAAGGTGCTAGCAGAGGCATGTTCATCCTCAAAGCTTTGTACTTTGGTGCAGAAGGCTTGCGCAAGAATTACGAAATTCAGCTCAAGAATATTGCAGAGCATGCGTTCCTATCATTAGGCAAAGTGCCAGTCATGATTGGCGAAGTAGGCATGCCATTCGACGTCAATCATAGGCTGGCGCTGACGACTGGAGACTACTCGGTTCAGTCAGATTTGATGGACGCTCTGATCGGAGCGATGGAAAAGAATCTACTTGGCTATACTTTGTGGAACTACAACCCAGATAATACCGTCGAGCACGGAGATAATTGGCTTTCTGAAGACTTTTCCGTCTTCTGCGATGAAGACAAAGCAAGGGACAAGGAGAACTACCTCTCGGCGAAGCCATTGTACAAGGGCGGTAGAGCTCTCAATGCCATCTTGGTAAGTGTAAAAGCTCTCACGCAAGTGAAAAGGGAAGCACCGGCCCCGCTAATTCGTGACGTGGTCTTCAATCGCAACAGCGTCCATATGCAGCCAAGACAGCAGGTATTCCACTCTCTTCAGAGTGGGACTCAAGCAAATTGATCTTCAAGTTCAGGTGGAAGAATCATCCGGACCTAATCAGTGCAAATTCGGAGATGGCACGCACCAGCGAATTCTACCTACCACGCTACTGGTTCGAGGGAACTGAATTCGCTGTCAAGCTCACAGATGGAAGTTGGGTGTACGACAGCTCGAAACAATCACTCTACGTCAGGCACGCCAACGACGAGCTTGGAGTTGCCCACGTTCTCATCGTTCAAGCACTGCCTGGCCAGAAGCCGAGAGCGACTTTTCCCCGTCCTAGTGGTATGAGCATACAGGACTGGACAGTCATCGTCAGCGTCGTCTTGGCGCTGCTCGTTGCTCTTTACATCGGCGACAGGGTGTATGTATACGGCCTAGAAAAGGCCAAGATGCATCCAGAATTGTAATGCATATTTGATGCCATTGTGCAAAACGTCATTCTCCTCCGCACGTAATGTGCTGATCAGCGCACATTTTCAGGCTCACTCAACCTCCTCGATGGACGCCTCCGAAAGAGTCCAGAACGAGCTTCTTCGCCTTCTTCTTGCCTCCCCCGCCACTTGCGCTCGATTGCGCGCCACTCGCTTGCGCGAGTCTTTGATGCAGTGCGGATGGCGGCACAGCATCGAGGGGTAGTACTTCTGGCGAAGCGTAGCCGTCGATCCGTCCATGGGGATCTGGCGACTGTGCGCTTCCCCACGGTTTGGGAGTGGAGGTGCCGCTGTTTGCTCCATTGGAATTTGGTCCTGCTCCTCCTTGGGATCCTTTGCCCTTGCCCTTGTCCTTGCTGTAGGCGAACAGGGCTTTTTTTTGCGCCTGGAGCGCAGCAGCATCTGCGTTGCTTGGCAGATCAGGAAAAGCGGTTGCATTGTTGCGCAGCGCTGCGCCTCCATGCGCGCCTCCCGATTTGCTGCCTTGCGCTGGCGCATGAACGGTAAAGGGCTTCAAAGCTGGCGTGTTGGTCCCAGAATTGGAAGCCACAGGCGTCGAGGTACCCGAGCCTGACCATGGGGTCGAAGAGCCTGACCATGGGGTCGAAGAGCCTGACCATGGGGTCGAAGAGCCGGAAGCTCTCAGATTGGATTGCTTCAAGGCAGCATGTTTTGCCGAGCCTGGAACCACAGATCCTCCACCTCCCGGTTTGAGGGTGGGGAAAGACTCTCGCAAGGCGACCGGTCGACCAGCGCCGTGTCCCGAGGATGAGCTGGCTGCCCTCTCTACATTGGCCCAGATATGGCTGTGTGCAGACGAGCTGGCTTTCGCGTTGCGAATCTGACCACCCGCGATGCCTGCGTAACGGCCATCTGCAGCTTGGGGAGTGAGCGATGGGAATTGGGTACGCTGGAAGCACGCCTGGTGATTAACACGGAAGCTCGATGGACGGGCGCTCCCACTCTGCAAAAGGCACTCACTTCAATGCGTACCGAGTTCCAGGCACTTTGCAAACCACGCCTTTTGTCGGTGTCGTCCAACAGATCGACTAGCCCATTTACTAAGCTGGACCCGGTTTCCAATTCGTTATCAGCTAGACGGTAAATTGAGTCGGCGAGGTCACGACCGGAAGTCTCGCCGGAGCGGAACGCCTTCACGCTTTGCCGAAATGCGGCAACGCGCGATTCGGAGTCTTTCAGCAGCGACGCTACACGAGCAAGATACACTTGATGACGTCTGCGAACGAGGAGGGACGTCAGAGAGGTACGGGCAATGACGTGATGAGTCGGTACTCACTCGACAGTGGAAGCATCGCTGCTCGAAGCTAGACCAGTATCGTGCTCGACGCGGTGCGAAGCTGCAGAGGTCGCACCATTGGTGCTAGCTCCGGTGAGGCTACCTCCAAATGCTTCGCAGCGATTTGGAGGAGCAGCGCCTGGGACATGGGTCCTGCCAGCCAAATATGACGTCGCGGGCTGCTCAGCAGCTACGATTGCATCCTCGCCTCGACCGCCTCTGCGACTCCTGCCCGCCCTCGATGTAGCTGGATCCTCGTACGCAAAATTGGTTTCTATCCTGGCAGCATCTCTGCGTTCGCGAGATGACAGATCTGCACTATGCTCTGCCAGTCGATGCGCTTTGAAATCCATATCGCTGTCGAAGACGATGAACTTCTTTGCCAAGCATTCCGATGACTCGCAGAGGAAATGCTTGTCTTTGAAGTGCTTCTCGAGCATGTTGTAATCCTTGTAATATCTATAGCGCTCCTCCTCTGTGCCTCTTGCCTTACACAGATGACACTGCTCGTGACGATCGCGCATATGCACAAACAGCTCATCGTCCCCGTAGAAGTGCTCCCTGCAGAATTCGCAATATCTGTGTTCCGCATCGATGTGAGCGGTCAAGCTCGCATTGGTGTGCAGGGAATGCTCGTGGGCAAAAATGCGCTTGTTCTTGATGCACATGTCGCTGTAGCAAGGTGAAAACAAGCAGCGAAGTGGATCAGCGAAGAGGCGCCTGTGTCTTGAAGTGGCGACACTCACCAAAGACCCATGTCGTGATCCCTCCGCACATGACGCTTCAGATCTCCCCACCCGTTACAGGCCTCCTCGCAAGTTGGCTCAGGACAATTGAACCGCAGCAAGATGAGAGTTTCTTCCATCGCTTCCTTCTTCTCAAACGCAATGGAGAGCTTCTGATCGTAGAATGGCAAATCATCTTGCAGAAAGCTCTGAAAGGGTCGATCAGGTGAGGACGTGAAGATCAAGCGTTCTATTGGAGTCTGGGCACCCATCGTAGACTGACTTAGCGACAAGGACGCATCAAGGCTGGGCAAATGTGCTGACCTTCAGACTCACCTTGCAGAAAGTACAATCCTTCTTCTTGTACAGAGCTCTCAGGCGAATAGCGCAGATGTGACAAGTGCGGTGATTGCATGCCGCCAAAGAGTACAGCTGAACAGGTTCTGCACATATATGGCAGAGATCCACAACCTCTCCTCCCGCTGTAGCTTCTTCTGCGGCTTCTGCGGCGGCAGCCGCAGCAGCTGCCGCAGCCAGGGCGGCCTTGTGTCCTTCTGCTCCTGTCAAGACAGCTGTACGTTGCGCTGAGACAGCACTGCTTCCCTCAGCTGATCTTTCCGCTCGAGCTCCACCTCCACGACCTCGACCTCGTTTTGCGGTGCCTCGTGAGGAAGCCACAGGGCCATTGGTTTTCATAGATCCACCACTCTGTCTTGGGCCAGTGGGCGGTCGTCCATCTGCCGCGCTGGTCGTCGCAGCATTGCTCTCGGCTCCGTTTGTCGGGCCATCAGTGACACTAGCATCGAATGTGGTGAGACTGCCGCCAAAAGCTGCTTGCCTTCCTCCTGCACCGCCTCTTCCTCCACCTCGAGTCGAGCCGCGGGATCGAGGCGCTCCTCTGGCAGTCCCTTCGCTCATAGTCAATGCAAAAGGTTGGAGTCGTCGCGAGATGCCCAACGAGTCCAAGTGGAGGGAAATCCACTCGCGACCAGTGCTGCAATGAAGGTCAGCTTTCAGGCATGCAAGCACGCCAGTAGGCTGTAAATATCCGTCAGGAGCCTAGACGTGAGAGCTGCGAGGGAAAAAATCGAGGGCGATGAAGGAGTATATGATTGTATGCATACGACAGGTAGGGTAGGTGGGAGAAATTGTGTAAGATGGCGGACGACATCGCTTGCCTCACTGCTGCCTAATCACGGATGGTGTCACAAGCCTACCGTGTACGGTACATGTATGCACGCATGCAGCCGAGCAGCACGCGTGCGTCGTCTTCAGCAGCGTCCAATCTCGTGCGGCAATCAGCCTTGCACGTGATCCTGTGAGCCAGGTTTGTTTCTGCGAGGTTGATCATGAAAACTCAAATTTTACTGGGCGAAGGTGAAGGCATCACTCAGGCGCAGCCCATATGCAGCGTCGCGCGGTTCCTCTCGAAGACTGATCAGAGGCTGGACACTATAAGCGCTCGCACGCGCTGGAAGATTTTTGGTGTGCGTGCCAGCATGCAGGCGCGCTGCATGCATGGCTTGGGCAGCCATGCAGCGTCATGATGATGCACTTTCAGCCTGAGCGCGTCAGCGTCGGGCGCAGACGAGCTGACACGCGGGCGCGAGCTGGCGTAGTCCCGTGTATGTGCACAGCAGCAGTCATCACGCGTTTGATGAGCGAGCTATTACGCCTGAATCGCGAGCGAAGACCGTGACGCAGCTAGCTATAGCTGTGCCGTGCCATGCCATGCCATGCCATGCCATGCGTGCAGGCAGGCAAACTTCCTTCTCAAGGCGCGCGCACCAGGCAGCGCACCAGGCGGTGCACCAGCGGCAACAGGAGAAGAGGTCCACCAATTTTTTTTTTTTT